TTCTCTTCCACCTTACGTAATACAAAATGCAAAGAAATTAATTCAAACACTTAAACATAGAACTGAGGTAATTTAATTATTTTTACTCTAACATCTTTATATTTTTACTTAATTATAAATTAATGTTTTAAAAACTTTTACAGAACATAAATGAAAACTCATCTTGGGAAAAAAATATTATAAAATTTATAAATAATATCATTTGCATTACTAAAGATTTATCTGAGGGTACAATTGAAAAATGCAAAGCTCTTCAAGATTATTATAGAAATTTAATACCTATGTTGAATGAAGATCAATAATAATAATAAATGATTAAAATAATTATCATTAATTAAAAAACAGTTATTTAATAATTTAAAAAAGACAAAGATTATGACATCTGTAACATGATTATATAATAGATGGTTATTTTAAGTTCATAAAATATAATATAATTTGAATTTTTTGATATAATATAATATAATTAATTTTTTGATTTATTAGAATCAAACAATCTTAAAGTAATAAAATTTATTTGGATTTTTATTTAATTTTACTAAAGTGTAATGATTCCTTGCAACTTTAACATTTGTTTAATTAAATTTTTTAAAAATAGAAATGATATTAATCATCCAGTTATTATTAATGAGTTTTGTATTCATATATATATGCATGCTACTATTTAAATTAGCAGTATAATTTATTTATAACAGTATAATTCAGTATATTATTATTTTTATTTGTAATAGGAATTTATTATTTATACCATGGAATGACACTGCTGCTACTAGAATGCCCACTAGGGGCATCCCAGGCTATCTCGTATAAATAAAATCTGTAAAAGCCAGAAAACTGAAGTAATTTCAGCATTACCATTATTACATATTTTTTCCATAAAACATCTTGTCTGAGGTGGAACAAAAAACTATTTGTAAAGATTCAAACTCTAAACTAGTTTTTATTTAGTTGAGTTGGACTTATTATTAAGTTAATTTGTATTAGTCTGTTTTGACAAAACAGACTAAACTACTTTTTACCCACTTGCAGGTATGCAGAACAGAGAAAGTGATATCAATAAACAATTAATTATTTTTAGCTGTTTTGTGAAGTAGATTTAGTAGACTCATAACAGATAGTTTTTATAATAGATTGAAAAGCCAGATTTTAAAGAAATTTCCTGAAAATTTTATATTTCAATTTCTAAAGTTTGTTTAAAAAATTTTAAAGATAAAAAAAAATATTGTTAATTAATATTAATATTTATTTATTCCTAAATACTAAATATATGCACAAAAATAACAGATAATTTCTTATCGTATGTATTTACATAAAATATTTATGATGATATAACTATTTAAATTATGATTTAACTAGGACATCGTGTGACTTTGTCATATTGTGATAGAATTGAAGCAAAGCCAGAAGGAAAGAAGCATTCCTGCACATGTTAGGCACAGAAGAGGCTATCCTTGTACAGTATCTGACAAAGTTCATTTGACTGTGTCAGACAGATGAACTTTGCACTTGCTGCCACAAAACAGGCTATCTTCGTACCTGCAGACCATGGGAGACTCGTACTTGCACTGGCCCTGGCTAGGTACAGAGAGATGATCCACAAACAAAGCAATTGATGGCAACTGATTTGTTCTTGTGTTTTGTTCATTTTTTTGCACCCTTTCTCCATTAGAAGCACATATACTGTTCTTATTTTTGACCCTTAGGCCTAAATTCCATTAGGTTGTGGTCTTTGCATCAGAGAGCACAGACATTATTACTGTAATACCTTTGTATTAGGGATGTAACGAATATTCGGTTACTATTCGGTATTCGGCCTATTTTTCGCTATTCAGCCGAATACCGAATATTTAATCACTATTCAGCCGAATACCTAAAAACAGGAGTAAGAAATAACAAAAACACAGTAAATTAATCATTTTGGTATTTAGATTTAATGTTGAGGGTTAGTGTTGTTTGTTTATACTTATTTATAACTTATAACATTCACAAAATAAAAAAAATAATATTAGTCACATGTATTTACAATTTACAATTACAAATATCAGCACACGTACACACCTATTCATTCGAGAATCGTCACACACGTCTGAGGGTCTGACCCTGTCTATTCTTTTTAAGCGCTCGTCTTTGCTCTTTCCTTTCTCTTTCCTCTATCGCTCTAGTCCATGTATGCCTATGCATACATCGTAATACGCGCTCACGATACTTTTGATTTGTCACTTTTCCGTCGTTGTTTTTCCATTTTATAATTACGTGACTCACAGCCTGGTGATAACGTAGAAAAGAGACAGATAGGACATCGGTATATGTCACAGTTATGATTTCACAGATTCGAGACAGCTTGGTAGCCCGAATGGTCCCAGGCTTTCGCCCATGCACGCTAAGTGACTTTCATTACAAGCATTAAGCTTTCCGAAGTCTATGACAACACTTGTTTGGCATTGACAGCCGCAAATTTGGCGCCAATAAGCTGCTTCGACTTGTTCAATTATGCTATCAACTCAATTTCATATTTATTTTCACATTTTCATTTCGCGGTCTTTCTCTGTTCTTTTTTCCGTTATTTACATGTGTAGGTCATTTCATTGTTATTCACAGTTGATATCGTCATTTATCACATACGGCCATGACGCTCTTGTCTGAACTGTCAAGAATTAACGCGATTGGCGAAGCGTAGTGACAGTGGGCCAATGGAGAGCAGGTCCTGGCTATAATGCGGTTTGCGCGCCAATTTTCGTACGTGCGTTAATCAAGCCGAATAGTTTGGCCGAATATTCGGCTATTCGGCTACGCTCCTGGCCGAATATTCGGTATTCGGCCTGAGGCCGAATATACTATTCGTTACAACACTACTTTGTATATCAAAAAACAAAGTCATGGACTCCTATTATTACTTTCCCTCTGTTATCTATAACTGAGCCAGGAAAGTATGGCAATCAGTCAAAAAATGTATGGATGTTAATGTGTGTAGAGCATGATTTTGTTTAGCCTGTTTGAAGCCTAATAACTCCTTAATTCCTGTGCTTTTGAAAATTTCTGAAATTTTGCAGGAAGATTTGTATTAGAAAGATTCATGCTATTTTGTTGGTTTAAGNAGAATAGACTTAACCTAGACATTCCATTTGAAGAGTTTTTGGATGTAGACAAGTCCCCGATAACATATGAAATGTGACAGGAATTTCTGACAGTGACTAGAGGACCAGACAAATTCACCTAAAACTATTACCATAAAAGAAGCAGAGAACTTTCCTTGAATGTCAGGAAAATATTAGGCAGGATGCATTCCCAGCTATTGCTTACCTTCAAAAAATTGTCCAGTCAACAGAAATTACTGGCCAACTATTTCTGCTAACAGATGTCAAAAATGTTTTATTTATACAGTAATATGTTCAATTAAGGTAAGGTATTTTTAATAAAATACCATACCTTAATCGAAATCAAACTAATAGAGGTTCATATACAGTAAACGGTAATATCTCAAAACCTGTCTATCTTGAATAACAACAACGCCAACAAAAAAATCATTTAAAATAAAATTTACTGCTGGGATAACAATTATACATTTAAAATAAAATTTTCATAAGTGTTTTTTGCCACCATCAGAGGATAATTTGTAATGTTTTGCATGCAGAGACAGGAAAGTAGCTTCAGATAAAGATCTACTCCATTGCAAGATTTGTTATACTCTATTGGTGTATGAATAGACAAAAGAAGGAGGACACTTTTAGAGTTTATCCATAGGAAATTTTGTAATTTTTCCAACTTTACAGTTCTATCCCCATGAAATAATATAACAATTTAACTGTTGTTTTTATAAATACATTTTAAGCCAGATCAGAAAGGCATAATATAATATACTCAAACACATCAAATATTTTGAATAACATTTTTACATTTATTTTTGATATAGTTTAAATTTCATTCCTTGATTGTTATTTTATCTTAAATGCTATACTGTATTTAGTTTGATATTATCTATTATAGCAATAATTTTTCAAAAAATAGAAATTTATTTGAATTTATAAAAAAAAATCATTATTGAATAGTTAGTTACTAGAATGATTTAAAATTAAACTTGGAAAAATTACAAAATTCACATTGATTCTTGATTCTTTAAGTGTACTGTTAGTCTATTACTCTATCACTTATTAACTATTATTCTTTTAATTCCAATAATTCAAACAATGAATATTTATTAAAACAAAGCTGTCAGTAATTGGTACTATAATTTATCAAAAACTGTAAATGTAGAACATCTCTTTATATATTACTTGATTTTTTTCCTAAGCAGAGATAAATCTTTGAAATTATACATGAGAAGTATACTGTATTATTATAAAATTTGATTGCAGAGGATATCAAGGCACTAGAACAATCACTATATCATTTGTGATGTAAAAATGTTGTCCTATCCTCCATCTTTAAATACTCCAGTGAAGATCTTATTGCCGTTCCTTCCCAACTCCGTTTCGTTGAGTTGTTTTCTTGTGTCTCACGACTCGATGTAATGAATCAGGTTCGTTGGAAAGCACACCTCCACACTCAAATTGAATATATTTACAGTTTATTTACAGTAGTAGAAAGTACAAGTTAGAAAACATAGTATATGTACAAGATGACCATGCGTGGTGAATTCACGTGCCAGGTTGGCGTCTGGGAACTAATAATCTTTGGAGAGACCTCAGTCAGCTTGTGGAGTCGGCTCAACTGCACGGTCGGTCCGGTCTCAGCACTAACCCGTCTCTGAGAAGATCAACAGAGGAGAACACTCTCTCTTTACGCTCAGCGGGCTTCCCAAGTGCCTGAGACAACCGTGTATCAGTCTCTTGCCCTTCTCTCCTTGACTCTCGTTCGCCCCGCAATTTAAGGGATTTTGGAACGGGAACTTCCGACCAATCACAACCCTTTTTTTATGCCCGAACAGCTTACACTCGGGTCTGCCGTCATCCGACGAGAGTGAAGCTTACACAAACGTTCGCCACTTGTTTACGTTCGTTTGCTTACCATTACCGTCTGACTGCAGGTGGGTCCAATTAACAAAGCCGGCGCTTCCTTTGCTTACCCTTGTTTACAAGTCAATACTTTACAAGTGGTATTACCCGACCGCACGTGGGTCCAATTGACAAGGTCGCGCCTCTTTTGTCCCCACTCCGCTAAAAGGTCACTACTTTACAACTTGTTTATATCTGTTGAACATCTGTGTTAAAATATATGCTCAAATTTGAAAGAACAATTAAGAATTACATAGATAATCCAAACCCAAAACTAGCAGTGTATTTATTTATTTTTAAAGTCAAAGCACCCAAAAAACATTTTCAACCATCCTTTGGTTGTCTTACAAAATCCACATTTTATAATAGAAATGATATTGAAATATGTTGTTTTTCAATGAAATTAATGACTACATACCCAATATTTAAGAGTTTTGCAATTACACATTACATCATTGCTTTATTAGTTAAACTGTTATGCAATTAACAGGACATTCATTGAAAATTTGAGAAGAAAAATTGTCTGGAAATGCATTTAGTTGTACTACTAGAATTTTTTGAATGAAATTACTTTCTTTCCAATTTATCTTTACACTAAGGAAGAATAACAATTTTTCATATTCTTCATGAAATATGTTTTGTTTATAAAGGATGATCAAAAAGTCTCTGTTCAAGAGCTATAAGACCCAGTAGGTTCATTAGATTTAGAAGAAATTGCCACTGGTGGTAAGGAAATTGTCTCATTGATCATCCAGCAGAAGTCAGGCTGCTAAATAAAAAAGTCCAATATTGCCTTCTGTCGTTCATCATCCTTTCAGACTTTTTCAAAGAATCAAAGACATGGAGAGATATCTGGACTTTACAATGGTCCAAGAGTCTTCCATTTAAGAGTGTCTAACTTTTGTTTGATGTTAGAACTTTGCACATCATTCCATAATGGTGGTTTTGGACAGGCATGCATCCCCACACATCATCACTCTAGGATGCATCTCCATCGTTTTGTCCTTTTGCAGTGAAAAATGGCACAGAGGAAACATATCCCCTGAATATTTTTGTATCAGCAAATTGGTCCCCTCTCAACATATTTTGATTTTTTAGTATGGTATAAAATAAAAAGTAGAAGTTAGAAATGGGTATTGCACATAACAAATACACCTTATTTTGTATATCCACTCAAAACACGACAAAGAAATTTTTCTTACTCATTGTGTTTTTACAACAGCCCATCCCCACTAATTATACAGACTGACCCTGTGGGGACAATGGCACATTGATCTGATTTGGACATATTTAGCAGCAATAATACTATCAATATGGGTACTATACATTCCAAATGCAACAAATACCTCACTAAATCACTGGATCAGTGGCTTCGAATCAGTTCACTCTGGACATCACACATGCAGTGCTGTCAATCAAAACTTTTTGATCATCTCTTACATATAAAATTTTGATTAATTTTTTCAAAATAATTTTCACTGTTAATTCAATTCAGATATATTTCAGTTTTTATATAAAAATAATAAACGTACACAAATAATTATAATTTTTTGTTTCACAAACCTGTTTTGATTTCACAATGTACTCCAGTATAAAATTTTGGGCATAAACAGCCAACATTATTATTATGCAATGAAGTACAAGTACCACCATTTAAGCAGTAATTTTCTGGACAAATAATTGTTTCACATTTAGTACCTGAAAAAGTAAAAAATAAAATTTATTCATGAATTAATCTTTAATTAATCTTGAATATTTAATCTTCTCTACCTGCATAGCCTTGTTTGCACAAACAAATATAAGAATTTTGTGTAAGAATACATGTTCCTCCATAATTACATGGATGAGAATCACATGGTGTGTTATAATTCAATTCGGTTGATGACTGGTCTCGTGCAGATCTAGATGACCGTAGAGGACGATCTTGATCAAGAGCTAATAAACAAAATAATTTTTTCAGATAAAATATCCAGTAATGATAAAATATTTATCAGCCTTTAAGTTTCCATAGAAGATGAAAAATTTTGAAAAAGATAATCACCAAAAAATTATTTTGTCATAGATATTGACATTATTATTGATTTATTAGTCATTGCACTGCCTCTGTGCATGATGTAAAATGAGTGTCATTTTAAATCAATCACACACACATGAATATGAGCTAACTGCAATGATAGTAATTGTTGTAGTAATAAATACAATACTGGAATGATATTTTCTAACACACAAGTACACATTTCATTAAGTAGAATGGTTTAATTTGTTTATATAAAGTACACTGTTGCTAATCTGGCCTCGTGTTTTTTAAAATTCATACAGTAAATTCGTAACATTCAATTAAAAGAAATAGCTCCAATTATTCCTTTGATGTATATGTTACTGTGAATGACCAACATCAGGCGAATGTCAGCATTCACACAGTCGTTTTGTGTATGTATGAAATATATGCTAAATATCATTATTTCTCACAGCAGCAAATGTCGACATTCAGCATGCACTGATGGTGAATGTTGAATAAAAATATTTTTATTACATTAAGACAAAAATGCAACTTTTTAATATGTCAAAATAAGAGAAAGCTTAAGTAACAGCAAATGTAAATAAATTGTTGAACCTAAAATGAACAGTACATTCTAAACCATTAAAGAAAATAATATAGTAATAAACTTACACATAAATTATGCGATTAACGTTATACAATCTTATTTATTGCAACAACTTAAACTGTTATGGCACTTTGAATTTCACAAGAGACCCTTGCTTTTACAACTGCATTTATTCGTGGAACACTTCTTTTTGCAATGACAGCGTGTATAACCTTGCCCTCCACTCTTCAAATTAGCTGCAGCTGCTTCTCTCAGTGACATTTCTTGAGAAAAAATCTCATCTATGGAAAGTAACTTTTCTTTACAAATTATGAACTGATTACGGGTATAAAGCTGCTTGAGGGTACTGTTTTTGTTTGTTAATTTATAAAAGTCGGAGTCTTCTATTCCAACAACAACCACCAACACATTTCGGGCATCTGTATGGCCACGGTTGACATCAGGGACTTGTATTCGTATGGTATCACCAATTTGAGAAGAAGGAAATGGCAAAGAATTTGGCAGCAGACTATTGCCTCTCTGTTGACAGTGTCTTCTTGGGTGTCATTTCAACCTCCACTAAAGCTTATCTGTGCTTGCTGACATACACCAGCTATTGTTCAAATGTATAATAATATAACCAAATATTCGGTCTTTCACTGATGTATTTTGTATGTGTCGACATTCACCAGAGAATATTGACATTCTCTAATTTCGGTCTTTCACAGTAACATATATATTGTTAGTATAGCTATATAAATTTTACAAACAATTTTTCTTGGTGTAAGTTATAGATCTTTGACAAAAGATCTTTGTTTGTAAATTTTAATTAATATATTTATACATATTATAATTCACTTTTAATCTTTTATTTTAAAATATGATTCATTGTGCACATAGAATGAAATTTGTGAACAAAAAAGTTACATATCTAACTTTTACACTCACCAACTCAATAAAAATCATTACACAATAAAGAGTGCTACATTTCTGTTACATGAAAAATACATTTTAATAGAATTCTAAAATACTAATCCTTATGCACTAAATATTTTAAAGCAAGTTAATATAAATAAGTAATTTTGTTTGCATTTGATTTACCTTTACAGTCAGATTTGGACCGAGAACCAGCAACAGAAACTGTTCCTCTTGGGCATGCTTTACATTTAGTTTTTCCTGTTCTATCTTGATAATGATTTCCTGGACAGTACTCGCATCTACCATCCTCTTCAAATGTTCCACTTGGACATTCAACTAAAAATATTAAATTTTAATCATCTTTCAAAATAATTTATTTCTATTTTTACAATTTTAAATATTATCTATTTTTTGAATATATTCATAAAAACTCTTCATACAATAAACTGTTGAAAAAATGGCATCATCAAGGCTTCATTGATGTTGCTCCTTCAAATTTTTACCATTTTTATATATATAAAATTGATAATTGCGTTCAATAATTGTCAACTATATACCTGAGAACATCTTGTTTTACATGTTCTCAATACTGAAAGTGATGCTTTTCCGTGACCTCTTGGCCTCCCGGCCATATGCTACAGACTTTAAAATAACAATTAATGGCCTGTTGTGGCAGTTGTCACCCAGTCCTGTAATAGAAGTTGTTGCCAGTTCCTTAATTAAGAGGATTAATGTCATAGCCAAAACGGAATACTTAATTGTGTTCTAATAGGACTAACTTTGTCACTGAAACTCAGAACAATCCTAGATTTCACCTCTGTTTCCAGGACAGGAAGGTTACCATGTCTACTAGTGGAAAACCAAACTTCATGTATTTACATCTATATGCAATATCCTGTAAACTTCTCTCTCTCTCCCTCTCATGACCACCTATGGTGGTCAGTTATTTTGACATGATGCAATGTATATATCATGTAATCCTTTTTCTTTTCAAATTAACAGTTATTAGTTGTTAAACTGGCATCTGAGTGATTCACTTCCAACTTGCCATCTCTCAGACCTCCTCCATCCCAAATTCAATTGCCTACACATGAAATGGCTCACATGACCTAGCAGCAACAACAACAGACACTGCACAGCAACTAAAGCTGTTTTTGTTTAGTGTCTTCTATCCTAACATAGTCATTGCCAAAGCAATGTTGACCCTTCAGTCAAGTGGTGCAGAAGCATAGGGGACATTTCATGTATTGTCACAATAGCAAAAATTGTAGTTGAGAAAACATCTCTTGCAATGCAGTACATAGTTGCAATTAAAACTGCTCATTATTCCAGGTGATATTATATGTTGTTATGGATTTTAATGAACTTTCCTTGACTAACAGTTTTTTTTTAACCATTTAAGTTTTTGATTGCAACATTAATAGAAGCAAATGGCTGATGTGAAAAGAAATTGAATTTATTTTCAATTGAAGAAAAAATGAAAACCTTAAAATTTTTGGATGGAAATCCTCAGATGAAAAAGAATGAAGTTGTGATCAAGTTTTGTATTCCATTGAGTACTCTTTCAACAATAATAAAGAACAGAGATTCACTAGAGAGAAATTTCAAAAACAACAACAAGAAAGTGAAAGAAATAGATGAATGTGTAAGAAAATGGTTTGTTGCAATGTTGTAACCAAGGAGTTTGTCTTAGCAGAATGATGTTACAAAGAAAGCTGAGGATTTTGTCAAAAGACTTGGCCATAGTGAATTTAAAGCCAGCAACAGGTAATCCAAGAACTTTAAAAGTAGACACATCATTGTCTTCAGGAAATTTTGCAACAAAAGAGTGTCTATGCCTTAAAGTGTTTGCAAAGAGTAAATCAAGAAGTTCCTTTCTCTTGTTCAATGCTATGAGCCAGTGGATGTCTTCAACACAGATGAAACAGGCCGTTTTTTCCAATGTTTACCCAACAGAACAGCGATATTCAAGGTGAGAAACAGAGTAAAGTACATGTGTGACCACAGGGTCAGCACCTCTTTGATGCCATGTCAGGACTGACACACCATGTCTTAATGGACATGGAAATTGCAATGGCCATTAGTAATTACGTTCATGCACGAGTAGTCACGTATGTAGATGCTTGGATTCGGAATGCAGACAACCTTCCATATTAATAAGAAAGAATGAAGAATGCAGACAACCTGAAGTGCACTTCACAACAAATTTATCATTTAAATTTGTTGTGAAGTGCACTTCATCTTTATTTAAAAATCTATATACAGATGTTGGTTTAGATGCTTAGCAGAAACTAGTTATAAAACATAAAGAAAAAGGTAAACCTTATCTTATCATTAATATCATGACCCTGACTGCGAGAGAGAGAATTTATAATCGTTTGCGTGTCAATAAATACCTTAGTTCACAGAATTGGGGGATCAGTGATTGACAGAAGCTTTGATGAGTTGAAAGAGGCAATGTCTTGATGTCTTGGGACAGGAAGATGTCGGACAGCGACAGCGACAGCTTAAGAGATATCCAGAGGATCAGTGAGCACACAAGTCCAAAGGTGGTGATGACGAATGAACAACGTTGTCATCAATCCCCTCCTTTTTATTAGAGAGTGGGTCCTTCATGGGTTTTTCCCATGGCCTTATTAGGAATTACTATACATCAGGGCCAATAGTTGAATTTCGATTTTGGTTCCAAGTGACACATTAGGAAGATGAAAAGAAGTGAATCCGGGGAAAGACACAATCATATTTTCCAGTTTTTTTTTTATTAAGTATTGGGGAAAAAATATAGAATTTTCTTCATATGAGTTTAAGCATTATTATTTTTTTTTATAAAACAAAAGTGAACGTTTTTTGGGCTATAAACTTTTTCACAAAATCTGGGCTCTCACATCTGTAACTGTACTCTTAATCAAACTGGAAGTGAAAAACTTTCATTGCTGATAATTGGTCATTCTGCAAAGCCCAGTTGTTTCTCAAATGTGATATTGTTTCCTATAACAAACAAAGCAAACCAGAAAGCTTGGATGACAAATGAAATCTTTAGTGACTGATTGAAAGAAATCAACAAATCTATGGGTTTTATTAAAAAAATGAAAAATTCTTCTGTTCATAACTGAAATGTTCACTCCAACCTCTCTACTCTAAAAAACATCACTGTAATGTTTTTGCCTGCAAAAACCACATCTAAGCTGAAATCCCTTGGCCAAGGGATCGTTTGAAGTTTCAAAGTGGGATACAAAAGAGAACTGGTTGAGAAACTTGTAGACACCATCAACAATGGCAATACCTTGCCACTATCAATGTTTTGGATGCTATGAGGATGATAGATGATGCTTGGAGGAATATTGCAGAAAAGACAATTAAGAACAGTTTTCAAGAAGAGGAACAACAAAAAAACACCATTGACATAGAAACCAATAAAGTAAATTTGGTAGAGTGGATAATCATCAAGAATAGACTTAACCTAGACATTCCATTTGAAGAGTTTTTGGATGTAGACAAGTCCCCGATAACATATGAAATGTGACAGGAATTTCTGACAGTGACTAGAGGACCAGACAAATTCACCTAAAACTATTACCATAAAAGAAGCAGAGAACTTTCCTTGAATGTCAGGAAAATATTAGGCAGGATGCATTCCCAGCTATTGCTTACCTTCAAAAAATTGTCCAGTCAACAGAAATTACTGGCCAACTATTTCTGCTAACAGATGTCAAAAATGTTTTATTTATACAGTAATATGTTCAATTAAGGTAAGGTATTTTTAATAAAATACCATACCTTAATCGAAATCAAACTAATAGAGGTTCATATACAGTAAACGGTAATATCTCAAAACCTGTCTATCTTGAATAACAACAACGCCAACAAAAAAATCATTTAAAATAAAATTTACTGCTGGGATAACAATTATACATTTAAAATAAAATTTTCATAAGTGTTTTTTGCCACCATCAGAGGATAATTTGTAATGTTTTGCATGCAGAGACAGGAAAGTAGCTTCAGATAAAGATCTACTCCATTGCAAGATTTGTTATACTCTATTGGTGTATGAATAGACAAAAGAAGGAGGACACTTTTAGAGTTTATCCATAGGAAATTTTGTAATTTTTCCAACTTTACAGTTCTATCCCCATGAAATAATATAACAATTTAACTGTTGTTTTTATAAATACATTTTAAGCCAGATCAGAAAGGCATAATATAATATACTCAAACACATCAAATATTTTGAATAACATTTTTACATTTATTTTTGATATAGTTTAAATTTCATTCCTTGATTGTTATTTTATCTTAAATGCTATACTGTATTTAGTTTGATATTATCTATTATAGCAATAATTTTTCAAAAAATAGAAATTTATTTGAATTTATAAAAAAAAATCATTATTGAATAGTTAGTTACTAGAATGATTTAAAATTAAACTTGGAAAAATTACAAAATTCACATTGATTCTTGATTCTTTAAGTGTACTGTTAGTCTATTACTCTATCACTTATTAACTATTATTCTTTTAATTCCAATAATTCAAACAATGAATATTTATTAAAACAAAGCTGTCAGTAATTGGTACTATAATTTATCAAAAACTGTAAATGTAGAACATCTCTTTATATATTACTTGATTTTTTTCCTAAGCAGAGATAAATCTTTGAAATTATACATGAGAAGTATACTGTATTATTATAAAATTTGATTGCAGAGGATATCAAGGCACTAGAACAATCACTATATCATTTGTGATGTAAAAATGTTGTCCTATCCTCCATCTTTAAATACTTGAGTGAAGATCTTATTGCCGTTCCTTCCCAACTCCGTTTCGTTGAGTTGTTTTCTTGTGTCTCACGACTCGATGTAATGAATCAGGTTCGTTGGAAAGCACACCTCCACACTCAAATTGAATATATTTACAGTTTATTTACAGTAGTAGAAAGTACAAGTTAGAAAACATAGTATATGTACAAGATGACCATGCGTGGTGAATTCACGTGCCAGGTTGGCGTCTGGGAACTAATAATCTTTGGAGAGACCTCAGTCAGCTTGTGGAGTCGGCTCAACTGCACGGTCGGTCCGGTCTCAGCACTAACCCGTCTCTGAGAAGATCAACAGAGGAGAACACTCTCTCTTTACGCTCAGCGGGCTTCCCAAGTGCCTGAGACAACCGTGTATCAGTCTCTTGCCCTTCTCTCCTTGACTCTCGTTCGCCCCGCAATTTAAGGGATTTTGGAACGGGAACTTCCGACCAATCACAACCCTTTTTTATGCCCGAACAGCTTACACTCAGGTCCGCCGTCATCCGACGAGAGTGAAGCTTACACAAACGTCCGCCACTTGTTTACGTTCGTTTGTTTACAATATGGTAAATGTACTACCGTCTGACTGCAGGTGGGTCCAATTAACAAAGCCGGCGCTTCCTTTGTTTACCCTTGTTTACAAGTCAATACTTTACAAGTGGTATTACCCGACCGCACGTGGGTCCAATTGACAAGGTCGCGCCTCTTTTGTCCCCACTCCGCTAAAAGGTCACTACTTTACAACTTGTTTATATCTGTTGAACATCTGTGTTAAAATATATGCTCAAATTTGAAAGAACAATTAAGAATTACATAGATAATCCAAACCCAAAACTAGCAGTGTATTTATTTATTTTTAAAGTCAAAGCACCCAAAAAACATTTTCAACCATCCTTTGGTTGTCTTACAAAATCCACATTTTATAATAGAAATGATATTGAAATATGTTGTTTTTCAATGAAATTAATGACTACATACCCAATATTTAAGAGTTTTGCAATTACACATTACATCATTGCTTTATTAGTTAAACTGTTATGCAATTAACAGGACATTCATTGAAAATTTGAGAAGAAAAATTGTCTGGAAATGCATTTAGTTGTACTACTAGAATTTTTTGAATGAAATTACTTTCTTTCCAATTTATCTTTACACTAAGGAAGAATAACAATTTTTCATATTCTTCATGAAATATGTTTTGTTTATAAAGGATGATCAAAAAGTCTCTGTTCAAGAGCTATAAGACCCAGTAGGTTCATTAGATTTAGAAGAAATTGCCACTGGTGGTAAGGAAATTGTCTCATTGATCATCCAGCAGAAGTCAGGCTGCTAAATAAAAAAGTCCAATATTGCCTTCTGTCGTTCATCATCCTTTCAGACTTTTTCAAAGAATCAAAGACATGGAGAGATATCTGGACTTTACAATGGTCCAAGAGTCTTCCATTTAAGAGTGTCTAACTTTTGTTTGATGTTAGAACTTTGCACATCATTCCATAATGGTGGTTTTGGACAGGCATGCATCCCCACACATCATCACTCTAGGATGCATCTCCATCGTTTTGTCCTTTTGCAGTGAAAAATGGCACAGAGGAAACATATCCCCTGAATATTTTTGTATCAGCAAATTGGTCCCCTCTCAACATATTTTGATTTTTTAGTATGGTATAAAATAAAAAGTAGAAGTTAGAAATGGGTATTGCACATAACAAATACACCTTATTTTGTATATCCACTCAAAACACGACAAAGAAATTTTTCTTACTCATTGTGTTTTTACAACAGCCCATCCCCACTAATTATACAGACTGACCCTGTGGGGACAATGGCACATTGATCTGATTTGGACATATTTAGCAGCAATAATACTATCAATATGGGTACTATACATTCCAAATGCAACAAATACCTCACTAAATCACTGGATCAGTGGCTTCGAATCAGTTCACTCTGGACATCACACATGCAGTGCTGTCAATCAAAACTTTTTGATCATCTCTTACATATAAAATTTTGATTAATTTTTTCAAAATAATTTTCACTGTTAATTCAATTCAGATATATTTCAGTTTTTATATAAAAATAATAAACGTACACAAATAATTATAATTTTTTGTTTCACAAACCTGTTTTGATTTCACAATGTACTCCAGTATAAAATTTTGGGCATAAACAGCCAACATTATTATTATGCAATGAAGTACAAGTACCACCATTTAAGCAGTAATTTTCTGGACAAATAATTGTTTCACATTTAGTACCTGAAAAAGTAAAAAATAAAATTTATTCATGAATTAATCTTTAATTAATCTTGAATATTTAATCTTCTCTACCTGCATAGCCTTGTTTGCACAAACAAATATAAGAATTTTGTGTAAGAATACATGTTCCTCCATAATTACATGGATGAGAATCACATGGTGTGTTATAATTCAATTCGGTTGATGACTGGTCTCGTGCAGATCTAGATGACCGTAGAGGACGATCTTGATCAAGAGCTAATAAACAAAATAATTTTTTCAGATAAAATATCCAGTAATGATAAAATATTTATCAGCCTTTAAGTTTCCATAGAAGATGAAAAATTTTGAAAAAGATAATCACCAAAAAATTATTTTGTCATAGATATTGACATTATTATTGATTTATTAGTCATTGCACTGCCTCTGTGCATGATGTAAAATGAGTGTCATTTTAAATCAATCACACACACATGAATATGAGCTAACTGCAATGATAGTAATTGTTGTAGTAATAAATACAATACTGGAATGATATTTTCTAACACACAAGTACACATTTCATTAAGTAGAATGGTTTAATTTGTTTATATAAAGTACACTGTTGCTAATCTGGCCTCGTGTTTTTTAAAATTCATACAGTAAATTCGTAACATTCAATTAAAAGAAATAGCTCCAATTATTCCTTTGATGTATATGTTACTGTGAATGACCAACATCAGGCGAATGTCAGCATTCACACAGTCGTTTTGTGTATGTATGAAATATATGCTAAATATCATTATTTCTCACAGCAGCAAATGTCGACATTCAGCATGCACTGATGGTGAATGTTGAATAAAAATATTTTTATTACATTAAGACAAAAATGCAACTTTTTAATATGTCAAAATAAGAGAAAGCTTAAGTAACAGCAAATGTAAATAAATTGTTGAACCTAAAATGAACAGTACATTCTAAACCATTAAAGAAAATAATATAGTAATAAACTTACACATAAATTATGCGATTAACGTTATACAATCTTATTTATTGCAACAACTTAAACTGTTATGGCACTTTGAATTTCACAAGAGACCCTTGCTTTTACAACTGCATTTATTCGTGGAACACTTCTTTTTGCAATGACAGCGTGTATAACCTTGCCCTCCACTCTTCAAATTAGCTGCAGCTGCTTCTCTCAGTGACATTTCTTGAGAAAAAATCTCATCTATGGAAAGTAACTTTTCTTTACAAATTATGAACTGATTACGGGTATAAAGCTGCTTGAGGGTACTGTTTTTGTTTGTTAATTTATAAAAGTCGGAGTCTTCTATTCCAACAACAACCACCAACACATTTCGGGCATCTGTATGGCCACGGTTGACATCAGGGACTTGTATTCGTATGGTATCACCAATTTGAGAAGAAGGAAATGGCAAAGAATTTGGCAGCAGACTATTGCCTCTCTGTTGACAGTGTCTTCTTGGGTGTCATTTCAACCTCCACTAAAGCTTATCTGTGCTTGCTGACATACACCAGCTATTGTTCAAATGTATAATAATATAACCAAATATTCGGTCTTTCACTGATGTATTTTGTATGTGTCGACATTCACCAGAGAATATTGACATTCTCTAATTTCGGTCTTTCACAGTAACATATATATTGTTAGTATAGCTATATAAATTTTACAAACAATTTTTCTTGGTGTAAGTTATAGATCTTTGACAAAAGATCTTTGTTTGTAAATTTTAATTAATATATTTATACATATTATAATTCACTTTTAATCTTTTATTTTAAAATATGATTCATTGTGCACATAGAATGAAATTTGTGAACAAAAAAGTTACATATCTAACTTTTACACTCACCAACTCAATAAAAATCATTACACAATAAAGAGTGCTACATTTCTGTTACATGAAAAATACATTTTAATAGAATTCTAAAATACTAATCCTTATGCACTAAATATTTTAAAGCAAGTTAATATAAATAAGTAATTTTGTTTGCATTTGATTTACCTTTACAGTCAGATTTGGACCGAGAACCAGCAACAGAAACTGTTCCTCTTGGGCATGCTTTACATTTAGTTTTTCCTGTTCTATCTTGATAATGATTTCCTGGACAGTACTCGCATCTACCATCCTCTTCAAATGTTCCACTTGGACATTCAACTAAAAATATTAAATTTTAATCATCTTTCAAAATAATTTATTTCTATTTTTACAATTTTAAATATTATCTATTTTTTGAATATATTCATAAAAACTCTTCATACAATAAACTGTTGAAAAAATGGCATCATCAAGGCTTCATTGATGTTGCTCCTTCAAATTTTTACCATTTTTTGTGGATTGACTACCATGTCACATAACTGGGAAAGATTAGCATGCCAGTTAAACTGAGACTAAAAAATAAAATCAATCAGATCTAACAAAACTAGTTGTTAAATGAATGTTAAAGAAAACATTCTTCAGAGTACAATAAAATAATAACATTGTAATTTGACTGATTTACAACAGGAAGAGAGTTTTCATTTACAGGGTAATAAAACAACTAACAGCTTACTGACAGTAGTAGTGGTAGATCAGTGTGGGCTGCACTGACAATCTGTGGTGAAAGTAATAAAGTTTTACTACCCTGGAAACCTTGAAAGATAACACTCTCCTCTCAAATTTCACACAAAGAAAATGTTAATAGGTATAAGTAGAGATAATTTAAAGAGAATTTCTGAAATTTATGTTAATATTTGCATTTTGGGATCAGATTACAATAAAGAAAAAGCCCTTTCAGAATTCCAGAAATATTTTACATCATTAAAAAGAAGACAAAATGCAGAAATTAAATATATAATTGCAATTTTTGAAGTAATGCCAACAGTTCACAATTTAAAATATAAAATGTCATCTACAAGAGACCTTGTGATGTAACTTGTTTATTTTTTTACACGCCCTCTGGAGAGGGATGTATAATCTCACATAAACTGATATGCCAGCATTCCTCCAGGTAAACCAGTATGATGGTTTTTACCATAAAAAATATCTGATTTTGTAGTCCTACAGATAGACCAACGTACTGAACAATCTGAAAAAATATGGTATAAGATAGAAATGATGTTAAAAATGAGAAAGAATAAAATTGAAAAATTCTTTCTAAATGTTATTTGTTTCTTTGGATTAAAAGGATGCAGATTTATGATATTTATTAATGTTTTTAACTGTGTTAATTTACTAAGAATAAATTCAGTGTCTTGATAAAAAGAACATATCATCATCTAATATCTGAAACATTTATCAGAAAAAATGAATACAATTGCTTCAATTATGGCCAGTTAATTACATAAGGTAAATAAGAACATCGAAATTTTGAGCTTGTAAATGTTGATTGAGTTATTTTACTTTTTATAGATGTATATGATTAGCATAGCCAAGTTTTGTTGAAAACCATTTATTGGTCAATAATTTTCTTGATGTATGCACAGTCTGTTTACTTTTTTGGCAATTCTAGTCACAGTTGCCAGTTGCGAGTCCACTTTCTGTTAAGTCAAAAATTATTAAAATTTATCTGAAACTCTATGTCCAAAAAAAGACTTTCCAGCCTGGCTCTGATTTACATTGAGCATGAAAATGTGAATATGTTAGATATTATCTTAGAATTTTCCAACAAGAAAACTTGAAGATTTGTGTAGCTTGCAGGGCAGTGGAGTCGTGTAAAAGTCTACCGACTCCAATTCCGACTTTTCCTTACCATCCAACTCCAACCTGGGGCAGACTTGTTACCGATAGAGACCTGGAAATTCTGATATCATCACGTGACCTCAGAATAAAAGATTCAATAAATAGAGTTCTAATAAAGATAGAGCATAGAAACTTTTTATTCCAAAGTTAAAAGACTTCTCTAAGTAATATTTAAGTATGTATTCAATAATTTTTACTTTTCTGGCTGTTATATATAACAGAGGAAAAGTGTAGTGCTCGGTCAAAAAATGACCTCTCTAAAATTTTTACATTTTTGGACTCAGGACACCTTGAAATTTCAAGATATGCAAAAGATTCAAGCTTTTTTATCTATATGTGTGGCTATATCTATATGTAAAAATATGTATATCTATATGTAAAAATGTTAGACTGTGTGGGGGGGCATGATTTTGTTCACCTATTTGAAGCCTAATAATTTCTGTGGTCAAAGTGGTCAGAACTGGAGTCAGATGGTTTAACACAGGAGTTAGTTATTAAGCGGCAAAGTGGTTGAACTAAATCGTGTCCCCATATACATTCTAATATCTTAGGCAAGAATATCTTAACAGGTTTTACTGTACTATTATAAAATGACAAAAAAGTTTACATTGAGGGTAGAGAGAAGTTTTATTTTATTTTTTTAAATTTTTAACACTAATAACAAGTAAAATATTCATTAAGAAATATGACACATCAGGGGCGCCGCTAGCTGTTTGAACGCCCGTGTGCAATACCGATTATGCCGCCCCCTGTTTAACTACGACTACCTACGCTGAGCTTGCCAGTAAGGCTGATAAGAGCCTTCGAAATATTTATATGGTTTTACACTTAAGTAAACAAAAAATAACTTAGTAATAATAAATAGTTTTTCTTTATAAAGTATTTCTTTTCTTTTTTCACACCCTTATGAGCCTTACTGGCTCATAAGGGTGTGAAAAAAGAAAAGAAATACTTTATAAAAAAAACTATTTATTATTACTAACAAGTAAGTTATTTTTGTTNATATAAATATTTATTTACAGAAATTTAACTCTTCTTGCCTTTATGTTTGCGAAATCTGCTATCAATTTTCTTGTATCCAAGCTGTCCAAGATTTCGTGTTCAATTGAAACTATAGCTAAATTACTTAGTCTTTGCTGGTACATTGTTGATCTTAAATAGTTTTTTTATAATTTTTAACTTTGAAAAGGATCTTTCACCAAATGCAACTGAAACCGGCAATGTAAGTAATATTCTTAGTGCTATTGCTGTGTTAGGAAATGTTGATATTAAGTCATTAGTAAAAAGATATTATAATAGGGTTTGTGGATCATTAGACTGGTTTTCTGGAAAATGCAACTTTACAGATTTCAATCATACAAATCAATACCGTCAATGTCTGTTTCACTACTCGAATCGTTTTTAAGCTTCAGATTTAAATGCTAACCAAGTTAAAATATGATTAATTATACTTAGACCCATGTCAGAAGAATTATTAACAAAATAATTGCAATTTGATATGCGATAGAACTGTTCGAATGCGTACAAGTACAAATTGAGAAGGAAGCTTTGTGCGGATTCTCTATTATTGCCAGTCCTATCAACTTCTGTCATAGAGCACGACTATGAGTACTTGGCTTCCGGGTGCTGCCGGATGCTTCAACCTGCCGACAGACGTTTCGCATTGCATCTTAATTCTGATAAATGCCAATAGAGGCGCTTTAACGCTATAATATAAATAAGAATATAATAATTGCGCGCCGGTCAGAACTTTTTTCTTCATGCGAAGACATTTCTTATGGTAGAAGTAGGGTGGGTATTATGACAATGACTTTGAATATTATGTAACCGATCGCTCGATTTGCCGCCCCCTGGACGTGACGCCCGAGTGCGGTGCACGCCTTGCACGCCCGCTTACGGCAGGCCTGTGACACATGACCACTTTTATGTCTTTACCCTGTCAACCATTAATTAAGAACCAAAATTTAATAGTATTTTAGCGATGGTGCTAAAACCAGTTGAAGCATTTCGATAGAATTGGTCCGGAGTCGGTCCTACCTGGTATGACAATAGCTTCGGTCTCGACCACGTGTCCTATGCCTTTTGTTCGTCGATCGCGATCAAGGAGGACACTGATTTCGATGGAATACCTTATTTTATTCCCATGACTATGAATATTTACAGAGATCCCTAAGTTCAATTACTATACAAATGTGCGTTCATCGGTGGAGTTGATTCCGGGAGATTGGTGTAACAAAAGCGAAAGGTCAACGTATTGAAAGCATCTCTCCTAGTCGGCATCTGACAACAAAGTGAAGCCAGAGGGGAAAAGTCAAGCGGTGGAGCCCTTTGCCCTACAGTATTAATGCCCCTTTATATGCAAGCTACAGTGCCACATTTCTGTGAGAATTCAAGCTCTAGCTTGAATTTTCGGGCTTTGATAAATTTTTATCATCATTATTTTTTCAATTTTCTGTCACTTCGAGGATTGACCTTATAACCCTTTTTGAGATAAGAGAAAAAAAAACAACCCACACACTTCCTACTTTGTCCAATTTTAACAATGAAAAAACCGATTGGATGACCCACCAAGTGAACAATTATTACTAAGATTGAACTACATATCCTAACCTTAGTCACCTCCAGCAATTAATTCCATTAGTTTGACAACTGTTATCGAATTTATGAGTTAGAAAGAGTGACAATACCAGATATAAGAAGTAATAAATCTACAGAAATGTATATACTAATTGTCAGAAATTGAAACCTTACCTAACCAGGCAAACTTACATAGAATTGTATCAGAATATTCCCCAAATTTTTTCCCTCTCAGGATGGGAATAAAAAGGGTCGCACTTGAACCTCGGGGCAGACACAGCTGAAGCAAACCCAGCCAAGCAGACATCAAGGACACCAGACCCATACCACCATACTGTCTGTTGCAACCCTTGTCTTCCCGCCATAATCACCATCCGTCGCTCGAAGAGCCTGACCTGAAAAGAAGAGAGACTACCAGTAGAGTCAGCCGATCCAGGGACAGTTCTTAACGCCCATTCAACTAGATCGGGAACATGAGAGGTAATCTCTTGCTCTAAATTTGATCCTCTCTCTTTCATTCCTTGTCTCACTGTCTTGGTTATAGATTACTTTAGGCTAGTTGAATTTAAAGGAATAAGATGTTTTATAGAGCTAGAACTTAGATGGCTAATCAACAAGCATATATGCCTTGTCGTGATATAGAATAATTTTGCGTACTGTATTCCCTTTATGTAGCATTACACTCTGTGCATGTATGTATAGTTTTAGACAATTAGATAATTAAATATCTTTATTTTATATTTAATGCTGTGTCATCCTTGAGGGCAATCGGTAACCTTCGACTTACCCATTTCCTTTCCCACTCATATTTTTGCCCTCCTATATAGCCATTCCCTGACAGAGCCACCGGTAAGTGGGGAGGAGCTTGAAGCTATACCCCCTTGGTTCTCACATTTTGTTTCTTAAACTTTACCCATTCCGAAAAATTGTTTAATATCTCAGAACAGAAAATAAAGAAATTAAACAAATTAGACACCAACACACACACACAAATTTTTCCCCTTTATTGACTTTTTTGAGGGGTTCAGGAGGTCTCCAAACATGTAGATTTGCAAAAAAAGCTTGGAGGGTCAAATTTGACATGATTCCAACACTTTTCCATTTTATATACATAACAAGTTGGTAAGTAAAAAGGAGTCAAAGTCGGCGGATTTTTTGATGACTCCAACTCCGGCTAAAACACCACAACTCCGACTCCGCAACCCTGGTAGCTTGTCAGCAAAAGAAAGTGACAAAAGTGGTAAGTGAATAATGTTTCAGTAATTCCACTTTTCATTAAAATAGCAATTAAAAGGAACTTGATAATAAAAACAAATTTGTAAAACATTTATATAAAAATAGTCATTCTGATTTCTACCTGATCCATGATAAATTTTCTGTTTATTGGTACTGGCAATAGCAGTACATGAAAATTTATCTGAGATTTCTGATCTCCGTGTACAGAGAAAGGGGTTCACTTGTAACTGTTTACCTCCAGGCCAACTAACTTATGCCACTGTTCATGTTCATTTCCTCTTTTGATCCAGCTTGTTTCATTTTGTGTGACTGGAATGAGCCAAACAGTCTGAATTATTTTTATGGTGGCAATAATTTTTGATTGTGTCATGAGTTTGGTATGTAGTTGTCTGTAGAAAAAAGTGCCTCATTGCAGTCACTTTATACATAAAGGGGGTCATTAGAGTAAGCTGGAATGAATACAGGCATATAGTCTAGTTTGTAGTACACCCCAATGAAGATATTACCATTGTGGAGTTTATGTCAATATCTAAGGAATGTGCTGTTGTCAGACTGAGTCAGTCTAATTTTAAGGTGAGGCTATAGAAGTTTATATTGAAGGTCTAGCATGTTCTCAATATTCAGTTTAGATATCCATATAATTAAGACATCATCTATATATTTGGTATAAGAAGAATCACTAGCCTAAGGGTTTGTAGTGTCTTTGTTTCTAGTGATTAAATTACTAATCCACACAAGTAATAGCATACCTTATGTGCTAATTCTAATATATATTCATGATAATTGCATATGGTACAGTTTCTCATAATCCATTAAGTAATGCACAAAAGCACAAGGAAATGTATAGATGGGTATTGTATTGTGAAGTATTGGCACAAGTAATATGATGGGTTATTGGGCATGACTACAATATTCCTTAGAATTAATAAGAATAACTGATCTAGATTTTCAAACACATGTCATCAAAAATTCTGTAGTTGTTCCATAATTTGAAGCTTAAAGCATTCTATTTGTAAACTTCACTAGTCTGCTTCATGTCCCATAATCAAAAACATTCATCAGATATCTCTTCAACTGCTGGAAAAGTACATAGGTTAAACCTTTTAAGTATTGATTTAAGTTCTAGTTTTTGGAATTTGTATTCTATGTAACAACCATTTATTATCTCCACAGAAATGAGCTTCTTATACAGTAGAGCCTCGATTATCCGACCTAATTGGGGACTGGGGTTGGTCGGATAATTGAAAAGTCGGATAACTGAAAAGTATGAAAAAATCCATTATTAGTGTAGTATATTATTATATCCCATGTAATTAGTATATTAGTATATCGCTATTAACCTACTTTGCGTTGAATTTTCATCTACGTTAAGCCTAACAAAAATTTTTTTAAATAATAATCATCGCTATTGTATCGTTAAAAATTAGAAAGTTAAGCCTCGTTTAAACACTGGTTTCCTTTCATGGTCGAATGAGTGTTGCCAGCTAAAACACGTAAAAATAATATTAAAGTAGCCAAGACATAGCCAAATATTGTAGTGCCACATCAATAGCGGACATTTGAAATTTGCCGACTAGGACGGTCGGTTAACCGAGGGGTCGGTTGATAGGGGGTTGGATAATCGAGGCTCTACTGTATACCTAAAGCCAGGTGCTTATAATTCAGCTGCTCCTATTATAAAGAACAGATGCTGTTGAAGCAATTGCCCACTCTGATCAGATAGTGCATGTGGATCACTTTTTATTTCATTTCTCCCCATAGACCTTTCTAGCATGCATGGTTTACAAGAACCTTATGCTCCCACCAGCATTGATCTATGGTTCATTGGAACTACTGAACTCTCTCACATCAGCAAGATGGTGACTAGCAAGAGTTATTATTATTATGGTGTTGGTGGAGTGTATCCTACACAGTACATATACCAGTGCCTAGTGCTATGATATACCAAAGTCAAAGCATAATTATGGAAAACAAATATTTTGTTTATGTGCTGTTCTTGTACATATCTATGTTTAAGAATTTCTTAAATATGTGACACATGTTTAGTTTGGAAGCTTTCTGAATTGTGTGATGTATACACTATTGTGAAGCTCTAAGTTTCTATACTTTTCTTGCAGTGGCATACCACATACATCTGCACAAAAGATTACTGGCACAATAAGATTCCTATCCATTCTACACAGACACTTTATTTTGTCAGTAAGTCTTGAAAATTAAGTCTGTCAGTAATTTCTTCTCTGTTTAATTTTGGATCTGTTATGATGGATTGTTTTGATTATGATTATGGTTTGGTCATAGTATATTTTGTGTGTTGTTTTGTAAGATCATCTGAGATATGCATTTGTAGTATGGTTCCTACATGCACAGCATATTTGTGTCTGTGGACAATCTTTTGATGTATTATATTTGCTATTTAGTAATGTCAATGTATGTGACTAGTCTGTTTATGTTAAAAGCTTTCAATCTGATGTGATGTGTCATATACTTTCTTGCATGATGTAAAATTCATAGAAGTATTGTCTGTAAATGATGTTCTCTTAAAATGTGCTTCTTGTAATTTTGTATTTATGACTTGGTTTTGTGATTTTGAACCCTTCTTTCTCTCGCCAAAGAAATATTTGAGAGTCAGCCTACAGTTGGATGCAGTTTTATCAACATGATTTTATCTACAAGTTTTGTAACTGTTTGTTTTCTATAGAAAAACTATCTCACTTTCTGTATTTGTTTGCAGTGAAGTGGGATGAGGCCTCACAGATATCTTCACTACAAACAAATACACAAAGTCACAGATATCTTCACTACAAACAAATACACAAAGTCACAGATATCTTCACTACAAACAAGTTTGTAGTGAAGATATCTGTGAGGCCTCATCCTTCCTCATTTGAGGAAAAGTCAGCCTTTCTACAGAGAACTTAGAGTGGTGTTTGTTATTTTGTTAATGTTTCTGTTTTCTTTTGGAGTTGTTCTAGTTGTGTGTGTGTTCAATGTATAACTCCAAAAGAATATATCAGTACTGGGATGACATATGTATTGATATCTTTAAATATGTATTTTGCATTCAGCTGTTGTGTTGTTATATTCTTTTGTTAGTCTTTGTTTTGTGGCGAATGCTGCCTTTCACATCTGTACCCTTAACGGTTGTAAAATACAAGCAATTACCTCGGGTGTATGAGTCATCACTTCCTGGAATAAATTCGAACTCACCCCACAAAGACGGTCGAAAACCAGTTGTCTTTGTTAGCCGCGTCATCGAGACATGTGCTATACCAAGTACGCGAGAAGGACAATAAAAGTTTAGTTTTTGTTACGATCTCGTCTCGTTTGTTTCTTCCACTCGCAACGACGAAAGATAAAGGCAACAACAACCCAAAAACCCAAAGTTTCATTTATATATGTTCTGCAAGTTTGAATTTTTATTAATTATTATTAAATAATATTGTCATGAATAGAAAAATTAATAATCTCAGAAACACAATACTAGTTTATTAATGAAGCTGGCCAAGTAAATCAATTAAACATTTTAAAGAACATTACACTAGAGGAAAATAAAAATCAATTTCGCTTTTTGAAAAATTCTGAATGGAATTGTTTTACAAGTGTTCTTTTTATTTGAACACTTTTGAAAAGGTCAGCATGACCTTCTCCTATTAGTTGAAGGTATGGCTGACAACATAACTGCTTTGCAGCATTTTTATTGAGCTTCACATTTTAGCAATAAAATATTCAAATTATGAAAATTTTAGTTTTTTTAAATTTTCAATAGTTTATCATTGTTATTTTTTGTGAACTTTAGTAATGTAAATTATAAAATTTAAATTAAATATCAATAAATTGCAATTAAATTATGATATAATTCAAATTTGATACTTACAACATTTATCAGTACCCGGATCAATAATATATCCATTAATAGGACAAACTAATTCAAAAGAACTTTGATCAAAAGAATCTTGCCATAAAGTAGCTCCAACACTATATAATTCTTCTTTAAATGTTTCATCTTTAAATATAATTCTGCTTGTATTTGCTAGAATTTCTTCAATTTTTGTTTCTGCATCAGAAACATTTTCAGTATCTTCATAATCTTCAATAAGATAAGTTGCCTAACAAGATTTTTAATAGGAATAAATTAACAAAATATAATAAATCTAAATTATTACAAAATATTCTGCACCCATAAAATTTGTTATTTACTAACTGAAACAACAGAAGCTAAATAGAAAAGATTCTTTTAGTAATTTGAAAATAAAAATTTATTACAAGTATTTGTTCTATCCCCAATTCGTTCAAAATAAAAATAGAAAGAAGTCAATTCCTTATGCATAGTTTTATCATTTATTTCCAGACTACAAATGATCTTTAATGATGAATTTCTACCTCTTATGAGGTGTAAAAACCCCATTCAGAACAGATTACAGTAAGTGGATTCTACTGTACACATAATCATATACAGTAAAACTGCTCTCTCTAACTCAAAGTGGCAAGAAAAACTTTGAGTTAGAGAACAATAGAGTAAAAATGCTGATTCTGAATAGATTTGTATTTTTATCTCTCTTGCATTATATAAAAAATCTTTGTTAGTTTTTTTGTTTTAAACAGCCCATGTAATGCCTTTCAGAAAACTGTTCAATGTAACTAATGGAATTGAACAGTTTTGCAGGTATAGTACATCTTGTTGAGATAAAGTGAGAGGACCTCTTGCTTTGGACTGGAATTTTGTCTGAAAATTAGTATTAGAGAGTAGATAAAACTAACTATGTGAAAATTTCATAAAAATCTGATAATTAGGATCACTTTGGATAGAATAAATATTAAAATTTGAGTTGAGGAAGTTGAAGGTAATATAAATGACCATGAAAAACTTCGACTTGGAGAAAATTCAAGTTAGACATTAAATTCCTATGCTATTCCATTGAGGCCTACCAAGAGTTTTGTTTTCTTTGAGTTACAGACATTTGAGTTAGAGAAGTTTTACTGTATATTCTTATCAGAAGTGCAGGTTTAATGTTATCAAAATATCACATCTCAAAACATAGAAACTTATAAAAACAGATAAAACTTTGCTTATTTTATTCAGAGTTTTGGTTATACAGTATTTAGTTTAATATTGCCTATTTACCTGAAAATAATGATGTCTTTTCATGCTATCAGCCTCAATATGCTGCTGATAACATGTAATTGTTAATCAGCAGTTCTGTCATGTATCAGTATTAACCAGTGCTTTAAATATTGATCATTTATAGTTTTAATAATTATTTTCTCATAAACAATAGTACAGCAGTTTAAATTGTTGTAATTTCTTCAATTATATGCTAGATGAATTAATATTAATTAATAATAATTACAATTATTAAATCTAAATAAATGAATAAAGTTATGCATTTTAATTGTTTTAATGTGTCCTTTTCATATTAAAGTCAATAAAACCAAAATTTCCACTAATTATAGTGTGAGGGGCTAGCCGGGGATACGGAGTAGTTAAGACTCTTGTACTACTTATTCGGCAGCTATCTGTTAGAATAGCCCTCGGGATGTCTAAAAGAACGGCTTTTCTATTCAAAGAAATCGAGTGCGGAGGGACTTACAGTTTGATCTCAAAACTTTTAAGGAGGGCTTTAACTAATATGTTAAAAAAAAAAGGTCTAGATGGTAAGTTCTAGATCAGGTGAGGATCTTGGACACCAGTTAATCAGTTATTTTACACGCGGATTAACATGCATTATCTCTAATTTGTGAGTATGAGGAACATAGGTAACTTGAATAGGAGTGAGTATGAATAGCTAACATTAACCAAATCATGTTTTTATAATGAACCAAAACATTTAATAAATCAAAGAATATAAAGTACACAAACGACTGAATAACAAATTTGTCCTTAAACCTAAATCTAAATAACTAACTTAACCTAATCTTATTTTAGACCTGTCGAGAGAGAGTTTACATTGATCTAATGATTATCATATTACCTTCTCAGTTCTTTAAATCTTTCATTGTATGAGAATCTTCTATCATCGTAACTATTCTTCTTCTTACATCTTCTCTGACACTTTCATTTAAAGATAACTTCTTTTATGACAATCTTGTCGTATACTTCTTTTGGAGGACTCTGTATTATGACTTTTGATTAACAAATTCATATGAGAGACTTGTATGTTGGATTTTCTTAGTATGGCAATACTTCTTTAGACAGACTGCCTTATGTCGTATGGCTAGTTCTTTCAATGACTTTGCGGGATTCGTGTGGCAATACCTCTTTTGATGAACTGCCCCGAATGGCAGGAAAATGTCCCTTTTATATTGGCCCTCTCTAATGGCCAAGAAGCATGTGCAAAAGCTCGACTCATCTCATGAGTCGGCCATGGAAAGGAAATCAACTTCCTTTCTAAAATTGAAAGTTTCTTTTGACATCCGTTTTTGTAAAATTTGTTGAAGTTTAAAATAATATTTTCTATTAATTTATAAATCTTTTTCTCTCCTTGTTTTTGTCCCAAAATGACTTTCCTTCTAAATCTAGATCCTCACAATAGTCTTATTTGCTCACCCCACTTAAATGTTTTCAGTCAATTATCATCATCAGAATAATTGTAATCATTATAAAATTAAAAACTAAAAAATTTAAAATTTAAATTATAATCATCTAAATTCTAAAATTATTACAATAAGTAGATTCTATTGTGTATCTGAATGCATAAATGATTGCAATATTGTGATACTATTTAGAATCCAACATTATCCCATTTATTCACTAACCTATATTTAATAAATAACAATTGAAATACTAATTCATATACAAATATCCTGAAACCTGATATATATTAGTAATATGCCAAACATCTTACCAGTTTTAAATAATTTAGAATATTCTATATTATTTATGTGGCATTGTCACAATGCTAGGCTGCATCATATTTTTTTATGTGTATAACATGGGCTGCATCATGTGTGTAACATAAATCATATTTTTATTCTGGAAATAATTTTTATCCATTTTATAAGCATCAGTTAAAAACATTCTCTACATCTATTACGGTATTAATAAACTAATTACCTTATTTTTGTGCATATAATCCATGTGTTATCTATGTTTGAAATGCACTTTAAAGGAGATGTGGATTTTGCAATAGGGCAGGTTATATGTTATTTTTAAATTCAATTATGAACCTATCAAAGAGCTTTTCCTTTGTCTAAAGCCACTAAGAGTGATGCTGAATGTCCAATACTTAGTTACCCTTTTAAAAGGCATTAAATTATGGAAAATGTTTACTAATCTGTTTTAGTTGCTTTCACTTGAATGCTCTTTCTAATGAATTATCAATTTTCAGTTTTTTAAACACTGGTTTTTCAAATTAAAATTTTACTTTGCAAACCTGAGCTTTCAATCTTTTAAATAGCTTTAAATTTTATAAAATGTTTAAAACAGTAATTCATTAGAGATCAATCAATTAAAAACAGCAAAAAAGATTATAAAAAATGTTTACTAATCTTTTTCTAAAAATCATTTTGTTTAGTTATGATTTTTTGTATGCATAGGTAATCTTTAAAATGGACTAGACTTTCAGCACTAATCTGAACTAAGCTTAGAGTTCTTATATAGCAAATAAGAGGAGGACAACCCACTCTCCACTACATTCCATGTCATTGAATATTATGTACAGTACTTTAAAATTGCTTTAATTTTTGAGTTTATTTTAACATTTATTATTACATATTTTATTATTATTATTTAATAAATAAAACAGAAATGAAGCAATATGATAAAAAAAATTGTTTGATAGACATTTCTACCTTGGACACAGGAAATTTAGATTTCCTATCAATATTTCATTTCACTTATTTTATAATTACATCTGTAATGAAGTGTATTAAAAAAACCAATGCTTAATGTTAGAGATAGTACCTTCTAAACTTGCTTAACAGTAAGTGTAATGCTTTCATCAGAGATATGGAGTATATGGTAGGGCAGGTTATGAGGTTTTATTTTTGCTCTAGCAATTTTCTGTGGGTTAAACATGACTGAAGGTTGTATGCACAAAAATGTGATAAATAATTTAATTTTAATGCATTATTTCTTAAGTTATGCATGAAACTTGTAATAAATAAAGGTAATGCAATAAATGAAAGAATGTGCTTTAAAAGTATTGAAATACTTTTAAAGCACATTTGAATAACTGAAAGGATGTGCTTTAAAAGTATTGAAATACTTTTAAAGCACATCCTTTCAGTTATTCAAATAATTAAATAATGAATGTTTAATGATTTAAAATTCTAAACAATTTTTAAGTTATCAAAATGATTACCCTAAGTGTCCAAATTGTTTCAATAGCCTGATTATTTTTCTCTTTGTCTTCACCACATACATAATTTATATCAGTACAATCAACTGCAAAACAATGCTTTATAGTTCTTTTCAAGAGACTTTCTTTTATAACAGTCATCATCTTATTTAAAGCAATATAGTCTGAACAGTTTTCTACTCCTGCTTTAAACATCACTGATGCTTGGAGAGATGTTGATGGAAGTTGACCTGTAAAATAACTGAATGTTAATATCGAGTTTAAATTTTTATTATATTGTTAAACAGTTTGTTAAACTAAGACATTTGCTTTTTTCTTTGAGTAATTTTTGAGATAATGCTAGGTTTTATCTTTGCATGTAGTTTTCATTTTAAAAGACAATTAAGATGAAGTTTTTGCTTTATGTAAAATTACAAAGATATGACATTAAATTTTGAAAATTATGATTTGGTGTTTGACAAAAGTTTGGTGTATCTTATAATAATAGATAATTTTACTATATTATATAGATATTTTCCAGGAACTTATCTGGTTAATGTATATTATCTCTAGACTATCTTATTTATTAAACATAAACATCTATCATATCAGAATTAAAAAGAAGTAAAATAACCACTATCATCTTTACAAAAAATATATTTAAGATTTTCTTTAAATTTTAATATCATTTCCTGTGATAAAAAAATTTTTTTTAAATATTTATACAGTGGGTGATCAGTTAACAAACATAATTTGTTCCAAAACTTTGTTCATTAACTGATTATTTATTTACCATAGGTTTTTATGGGAATTTGATTAATTCATTCTGGAGACCCCAAAAAATAAAAAATATATACTTTCATACTACATTTATTTATATGTAATAATAAAAATACAGTCTTGCATTTTTATTAGTCATGTTTTTTCCGTTTGTGGGGGGTTAAAGAATTTGTCTAATGTCAATTGCTTTTCTCTATTCAGGATTTTTCAGAAATAATTAATAGCATTGTAATTGTAGAGATCCCCAAGCCTATTAACCTCAACCTGCATTCTCCCACTTCTTCAAAAGATCTTTAATAGCAGATATTGGCATTAATCCTCTTTTTCAGAAGAAAACATATCTCACCGAGTTTCTTGGTGTTCTTCATTCAAAAGTTCTTGGCATTCTTCTGTCATCAGATCTGTTTCAGGTTCCATAATGAGTTCTTCAATGTTCTTTATTTTTCAGATGTAATTTTTGTTACTCCTTTAGCTGCTTGAGTCTTCTCAATTATACAGTATCTTTCTTAGATAAGATTGAACTGTGGCCTACTGTAGACCTGTTCAAGCCATACCACCCAGCAACATCTGCCCACTCTCTACCTTTGCTATTATACTCTCACCTTTGGAAATAAAAACTGATGCAAAACTTAACGAATGCCTGCCTGACAGTCTCAGGAATACTATAAAAGAATTGTTTCTGTCAGGAAAATAAAGGCTGGAATTATAAGGGATAGTTTCAAAGTTTGGAGGAATACTCTCCGATCAGTATATACCGGGTTGAGCGTTGATGTCAACATCTCCCATGTTCTGAAAAGTTTTGAATTGTTGCCTGAAGACAAGGGAAGACCAATCGGTATTCATTATTTTACATCACTTCTTGTGTTTGTTCTGTGAAGTGTTTGTTAGCTGATTTGTTTGTAGTCCAAACTGTTCATTAACTGATCACCCATTGTACTATGAAAAAATTTAAAGTGTTCATAAAAAAATTTTTTACACTATAGTAATAAATAACTATGAACCCACTGTTATGATTACAGATTCATCACATACAATTTTATTCCATTAGTAGTCTTTGTTGATTTGAATTTTCTATATATTTACTGTATAAATCTCCATTTCTCCAACTGTTTAATTATAGTATGCTTTTATTCATTTTCTCTAACAAATTATCCTTTGTTGCTTGTTTACTTCTCTTAAATATAAGAGAATATAAACATAAGAATATATTCTAGTTTCCTTATTCATCAGCATGTGGAAAAAAATGATATAATTAGTATCATACCTCAACCACTTTTAAGATCCCAAAGTCATCCACAAAACATGGTTGAGTATTGAGTGGCCCTAGAACCAGATAGAACAAGCACCAAAAACCTGTAATAGCTATTAAAGCACTGTTGGAGATAATCTATATTATCTCCAACAGTGGTAAAATATTATAGAATGATCCATCCAGAATGAAACGACCTGGATTCATATACATACACACACATTTTATGCAAAATAGATTAATCACTGAAGAAAATTATTTCCTAAGATTAATCTGATTAAAAACATAATCTATGTCATATTACACAGAGCAACAATAAAATTCTTCTATACATGTAGTACAGTACATAACTCAGATCCCTATACAGGGTGTTTATAAATGAATGGTGCGGTTTAAAAAATTAATAATAAACCTATTTATTACCTTATACGGGCAAACCTTACAGCATAAGCAGCAGCAACTGTCCAAGATTTTTATGTGCTACCTGTCTTCGCTTCACTTCTTAATCATGTTCTTCACCAATGCTGAATTGTACGTGGTGCAACAGCAGACAACAACCTGCTCCCCTGGCCTCCCCATTCGCCAGATTTAACACCCTGCAATTTTTTTTTGTGGGGGTTTGTTAAAGACCGAGTTTATGTACCGTCAATGCCCGTGCCCCTTGAGGAACTATGTGATTGGATAAAGCATGCACTGCAGACCATCACAGAGGACATGCTACACTGTGTATGGGAAGAATTTGATTACTGTGTAGATGTGTGTCATGTGACCATGGGTGCACATATTGAAGGATTGTGATTAATGCATAAAAAACTTGGACAGTTGTTGCTGCTTATGCTGTAAGGTTTGCCCATGTAAAGTAATAAATAGATTTATTATTAATTTTTAAAACTGCACCATTCATTTATAAACACCTTATATATAGAATTTTGAATTGTTGACTGCACAAGTGTCAAAAGAAACTGGTCCTTTGCAGAAGACAGAATGCTTGAAAAAAGATGTCAGCTATTATTTTAATATTACTTCTCTTTTTCTTCTTTTCCTATAATAAAACTGTTTAGTTTTTAATTTTCAAGAACATTCATTTCATTTTTCTCTACAAACCTGCATATGTAGTATGTGTGTGTGTGTGTTCTACATGCTATTTACTAAAAATTAAAATTATCTATAAATATCATAACTGAATAATCTTTACCTAAACAATCTGGTAAATTAAGCAAACCATGAAATTGTTGAAAATCCCAATATCCATTTGTTGTATTACATTCTATGAATCCTCTTTGTAATAATGTGTATAATGAACGGAAACCATAACCAACTTTACATTTCACTTCACAACGGTATTTTCCATTTATATTCTGGCATTCAATGTATCCATTAGTTGGAGATTTCAATGCATCACATTCACGTCCTGAAATATAAATAGCTAGATCTAAAAATAGTTACTATTTTATTTTTATAAAAATAAATATTATATCTTGATAAATATATCAATAAATTTGTTAGTATCAATAATTTTTCTTTAATAAATTTTAAAATTAATAATATACAATTCATTCTTCAATAATACTAATAATATAATATAATAGAAAACTTGCTAAAAATCATTTGATTAAAGTAGCTTCTTTTGGGAGAATCAGATTATAGAATTAAAATATTACTACAGTAAGTTTCAAATCTTGTTCAGTTTATCCATATAAAAAAAGAAATAAAACATGCTATTTTTATTTCATAAATCACCTATATCTCTATATTCACAAATCTGTTCAATCAATTTTGATAAAACTCTGCCATTTTCCATTAATAACTATGAAAATCCAAAAATGAAATAAAAAATAGGAATCCATGACTTCGTTTTAGAGATACAAGGTCCTAACAAGAGCATATGCAACAAAGTGATGTTGCGCAAAGTTTTATCTAAATTGATTGAACAGATTTTCAGAATGAACGCTATTCTATAAGCCAAATAGAAGAAGCATTGTTAATGCTGTCATATTTGCAAAAATATCACAAAATTTTTTTTATTAAAAACAGTGAGACATTTCCAACAAAGATTTGATTATGCAATCAGCAAAATGGAAATGTGTTTGGACATCATTTGCCATAGGAGAAAACTGTGATAGGCACTCACATTAATTAAGTATTTCACTAAAAGTTTACGTAAAATAAAATATATTGAATAGATTTAAGATGGCCTTGAGCTGTGACCTCCCTCCCTTATATCCCTTCATTATTTGAATAAAAAGAATGATTCAATAAAATAATACAGTAGAGCCTCGAAAACTCGGCACTCGATAACCCAGCACTCCGATAACCCAGCCACAACCTGGCAGGGCAAAAAAATCCTTAGTTAATTAATTTTCATGATAAAGACAGCTTTATGCCTCATAAAGTATTTTTCTGAGGTCTGTCTTATCAGGTAAATTACTGTACAGTGTATTCATTATTTTTCATTTTCATGTAGTAAAAGCTCTATGCCTTCATAAAAGACGTACTTTTCCTTTGTTTAAGAGTATTTGAGCAGTTTATTCTCTGTTGTATTCTCAAGTAAACAATACATATAAGTACAGTACAGTATTTTCTGAGGAAACACTCGTACTTATTTTTTTTAACCCCATTCCCGATAACCCGGCATTTTCACAAACTCGGCCACCCTTCGGTCCACATTAGGCAGAGTTTTCGAGGCTCTACTGTAATAGTTTTGTAATGACTGTTTTGACATTTTTTTTTCCTTTTTTTTTTTTAATGAACTTTACTGATAGCTACGGACTTGTGCACAGTGTGATGGCCAAATAAACATTCAAACACTCTTAACTTCTGATAAATGCATCTTTCAAAAAAGCATTTAATATAAAAGTTTGTTTATTTTTGATGTAGAATCATAATATACAATTAAAAACTAGGGGCTCTCACATACGAAAATAAAGTTGACCCCATTTTCACCAATTGTAGAACATCTATGATGAAACTGATAGTCACATCTTGTGCCTAGTTGAAGTCTAACAATTTTGATTCAATGATTTTTTGTAGGATGCATATTTTCAAGTTATTACAGTGAATCAATTAAAATGGACCACCTTGTACAGTGAATTGAGGAGATTATGCTAGAGATTATATATTAATGAATAAAAAAATTTACTTTTATTTTTGTTACCTGAACTACTATCTGTATGCCCTTTATCTTTTACTGTTATAGTATATTTACATGAAGCAAATGTTTGCAATTCAACATCCATTGCTTTACAGGTATTTTCGTGAATTCCATGATCTAATACATTTGACAATGTACAAGAAACTTCAGCTGGTTTACCCTCCGATGTAAGAAAAACTGGATTTTTTAAAATTATTGTTGATGGATCATCTGTTTCATATTCTATATCAATGCAGGCATCTTTTTTTGGTTCTGGAACAATCCTTTCTATAAAATATCAAAATCAAAAATATAATCATATCAATTTACAAAATGTTTTCAGTTTTTGAAATTCTTTTATAATTACTTTTGCATTCAGGTAATTCTGTTACATTCCAAACTGCTGAAGGAAGACAGATAAGTGTTCCTAAGTGTTTCATGCTTACTGGAATAACATAACCACTGGAACAGTTATAATGGCATTCAGTATTCACTGGATATGTATCTTCATTGCTAGAGGTGCAGCTCACTGTACTAAAATTAATTGTTGGTGGTTGATTACATTCTAAAGCTAATTTAAAATAAAAATATATTATTAATTATAATTGTTAAAAATGGAATTAGTAATTTGTTAAAAAGAAAAGCTTTAAACATACTCTTAACATCAATTGTATATGAACAATTTCCAAACACTCTTAATTCTGGATCTTCTGCTTCACAATAATTTTCATAGCTTCCTGGTTCAAGATTATTATTTAAAGAACAGTTTGAAATTACAATTTTACCATCAACTGTAATAAATCGTGGTGGTGTTATTTCTAACGTTTTATTTGCAGTAATTATGGTTTGATTTTGACAGTCATCCTTATATTGAATGGGATTTATTTTTTCTGAAACATTGTCATTAGATTTTAATTTATATAATAAACATTTTTATAATTTATTTAGAAAATTATAAGTATCATCTCTTGTAAAATGCAGGTGTGATTTTAAAATGCAGACTGATACAAAATGCAATAAAAAATATTGTCAGTAAAAACTTGAATTTTGGAAAATCAAATTTTATTGATAGTAAAATGTTAAAAATGATGTAATAGGTTAACATAATAACTGTAGAAAATTGTTTTATATAATATTATCTGCATAATTATGTTTGTATAATACTAATTCTTAAAAAAACTAATTATAAAGCTAACTGATTATCATTATTATACAGTGAAATCTATGTAAACTGGACTCATACAGTACCAAATATTTTTTTCCAATTTGGCAGGTTTCTGTTTTGAACAGTTTTTTAAATACAGAAAATCACTACATTCCTGTGAATTTTTTCCACTTAGGCAGGTTACCTTTAAGGTTCTGTTTTGGACAAGTTTTACTGTATATTTCATTACTATTTTAATGCTCAGCTTTTGTAATGTTCATTAAACCAATTAAAGACTTTTACAATACCAATAATAAAATTAAACTAGTGGACAACCCTACCTACAGAATTCGGCATTAAATAGAAAAAGTTCATTTAGAATTAAAAATTGAAATGTAATTGCCTTTGAAAAGTTACTTGTAATCTGAACTATGTAAAATATATTCATGCTCCCAAACCAACTATAAAAATTAATTACAACATTTTTTTATATACTACATTAAGATGATAAATCTGATAGAACAATGATGAGGCAGTATTTTAACTTAGAATTAAACCTTATTCTAATCTAAGACTATACATGCACTTCTTCACACATCCATAAGTTGGCATGCAACTGAATAATGGTTTCTTCCTACCTCAAGCTGTCTTGCATGGGGTGTTGCCAGTTCATAGACAATTTGCAATATCGACACTTGCTTTAGTTTAGTATTCCCTAACAATCCCACCTTTCAAAAAGACTATCTTTACTTAGTGATCTCTTCACTAGTTATGCATTTACGGTGGATCAAGAAAGCTTCGGGCCCAAGTGGTTTTGTGAAGATGCCAGCAATGTTGCTTTTACTATCCATATACTCTATTTGTATCGTTCCATTGGTGACCTTCTCTTGAATGAAATGATACTTTACAGCTATATGTTTGGTCCTACCATTTATCACATAACTTTAGAATAGAATCCAACTTTTTCTGGCAAAATCCTCTGACTAACAATTCAGTTGACACTGAAGTGTTGCAAAATCTCAATGATGCAAAAAGTTTCTTATTGACTCCCTCAACAAAATGATAGGAAAATTTCAGAAATTGAGACATGATGTCTCTGGAATGGATTATCAATATGAAAATAGAAACCTTATTGCACATCTGCAAATGCACCGCTATCTATTGACACCTAATTTGTTCAAATCTGCCAAGAAATCTAAGAGGAGTTTAGGTAATAAAAATCTCCTTGGCATAATACATATGTGGATTCTATATAATTAATTTTTATAAAAATAAAAAATATATTTATTTATTTATTGTTATTTATTGGGGAAATCAAGGCAGATTGAAACACTTAAAGTTTTAAGCATTATAAATAGTAAAAGATGTACAATACAGTACATAGATGTTTGAAAGTAAACAAGTTTATTTTTTAACTACTTGACAATATAATGTTTTGTTCAAACTACCAAGAATGAAACATCAATTGATCAATTGTTATTTATGATATAAAAAAAGGATGCACTTTGGTCCATTCTACTCTGGTGACAATATTTTGACCATGGGACAGAACAGAACACTTATTTTTATTACTCAAAAATAACCAATAATAAAATTACATTGTTCTTCAGTTTGCTTGCTTTACATAAATACAGTTTAACCCGATTATAACGACATCGGATGTAACGACAACCCTAATATAACGTCAAATTTTTATTGGTCCCACGATTTTACTATACTAGATAATGTTAAAAAACCCACTTGTAACGACATAAAACCCTGTTTTAACGTCATATTTGAAGCACTCTTAAATTTACAAAATTAAATTATAAATTTTATTTATCAAAGAAAATACTACGTGTTCAGTCNAATTTAATAAAATGATTTAAATAGCAAAATTTTTATATAAATACAAAATTCTCATATTTTGCAAAAGGCCACATTTGACAAGAGATAAATATATATACTGTATATCAACATCACTTACTAAGACATTGTGGAAAATCACTATTATTCCAGTAAGGAGCAATACATTCAATAGTAGTTTTGTTCAAATGACTTGTAGGTATGATGTAATTAGGTTTACAATTAAAATGACATTTCGTTCCATTAATATAATTTGGTTGATTAGTAACAGAAGTATCTCCTCGTTCACTCCATTCTGAAGCTACATCATCACAACTTAAATAGCCATTTTCTGGTTCATTGGGTTTTGGGCATTGAATAGCTAAAATATAATTTAAACAGTTTTTAAATATAAAATTAAATAAATACAGCTAGTACTACATTTTTATTCAGATAATGTGCATGATATATAATTCACAAGTTTAAAAAATTATTAGAACTGAAATAAAACATTTAGATGATCTGCACTAGTAATGATGAAAATATGGCACTTTCAGTATGCTATTTAGAGAGTAGTCTAAACATTTTTTTTTTATATTTTGTTACCAATTTATTTTAGTTATAAAATAGATGAAATAAAAGTGATAGATAAAGTGGGACATTTAAGATGAAACGTCCTAAACAGCATAAGAGTGAGCAGAATTGCTAATTCTAATGCATATTACAGTACTGCAGATGTAAAAATTTATGAATTAACTAGAAAATTTATGATTAACTAGAAAAAAACATTAAAAAGTTCAACAACTTTCAAGAAATTTATTTAAACAAATATTTATGCATTTTATTTAAAGAAACTGTATTATTTTAAATATAGCAAAATATTTGGTGTATTTTTTATACACAGGATTTATTCATGTTTTCTAAACATGCACTTGTGATTTTGAACAAAGGAAAAGGAAATAGTATAATCAACTACACAAAAAAATAAAAATAAAGAGAAAGAACCAGAAATGGGAATATGGAACAAAAATAATGTTGTATATAGATTGGAGTACAGTTGCACTGAACTCCATATTTATATAGATGAAAGTAAGAGGGATCTCCAAACAAGATTCATAGAGTACATTAGACTAATAAAAAATAATGATGATAAATCTGCAGTTGCAAAACACTGTAACCAAGATGGATCAAGATAATAAAATAAAATACTAAAGTTTGATAAAGCAAATACGTTAAAAGAAAATTATTTGAACATTAGAAATTATAAAAGTAAATAATAAAATAAATGAAAATACAGGTTTACAAATACATGAATCTTGGAAAGGTTTCCTAACCAATATAGAGAAAAAATAAACAAATTAGCATATATTTGTGAGCTGGAGGAACACATCCAAAGGCAAAGCGATGCATATGTGTAAGAGGGATATTATTAGTAAATTCTATTAAAGTATAATGTTAATATCATTTTCTTTATTAAGAATTCATCACACCACCAGAATACTACTATAATAGTTTGTATTTCAAAATTTATGAAATAATGTAATAGAAATGTATAGAAGTGATATTATCAACAAACTCAAAAATATACAAAATGAGAAAAAATTTATATACCTAGACAGACTTGTCAAATTAGTACAAAACTTATCATATAGCTTTGTCTCAGACAGTCATGCAAATGATTACAGTTGTGGTCAGATTGCAAGTAATGCCACCAGTGCTTTAAAATCACTACACAGTATCCTATAAAAAAAATTTGCAGAGGCATACTGTGTTCAAAAATTTTCAGTGCATCTGTTCTTTGGAGATCTTGAAATGCCAACTATGCATTATGATGCAGTGAAATACATTATGCACAACTGATAGTTTGAAAAGGCTGTATCATCAGGTTTGGAAAAGCAAAATGGCTATTTAACTGCCTTCAACAGAAGGTGTTGAAGGCAGAGGCTATATGAGGACACAAAAACAGCAGGACAGCTCTTTCAAAATCCAGAAAAATCCACTGGCAAATTTATAACAGCTCTATATATAACCTCACAAATAGTTATAATTATGGGAATTTGAAAGATGAATTCACTCATGATGAATCATCAATAATAGAGTGAATAAAAAGCTAAGTGAAAGATTTCAGCAAATGAGGAACTCACTTTAGAGAAGATAATGAAAATAGCCATGCAATAAAAAGATCTAGAAACAGAATCAGACAAATTCAAACCTAGGGTTGATCATTTCTCATCCACAATGATGAAATGCAATCCAAATAGGAGAGAACTTTATCTAAAACAACTTCAGACCATCTTACAAGACACTCACAATATACTTATTCATCTCAAATCAAGTTCCTCCAGGGAAGTGCCTTTGAAGCAGAGGACAAAAACAGCATTTGTGTTTTTGTTCACTGCGTTAAAATACTATTGTCCCACAAAATATACTATTTGCTATCAGTGAAAGAAAAAGAAACATTTGTAAAATTTAAAACAATGGAATCAGTATTATTCTTAAAATTTGTAAATTCTAAAAATAAATAAGATTATTTCCAGATTAAAAACAAGTAAAATTACTCTTTCTTATCCAACTTTAAGTGATTCAGTTAAGCAGACAAACAAATAATGAAGAAATACTAAACTTTAATTACCAATAACAATAATTAAAGTTTAGCATTTCTTCATTATTTGTTTGTCTGCTTAACTGAATCACTCGAAGTTGGATAAGAAAGAGTAATTTTACTTGTTTTTAATCTGAAAATAATCTTATTTATATATATATTTTTTTTTTAAGAGGTCCCAATGCTAAAAACTACATGGTCAATAAACAACATTATCATGCAAAGGCAAAACAGTACATCAGACAATATATTACAGGAAATCCTCATTAATTTGAACTTGGATATTTTGAAATCCCATTAAGTTTGTAACTGTATTTTTGTTTCGGCTGGGAATATAGAGATTTAGTTAAGGAATTCAGTTAGTTCTAAATACAGCTACTTTGAAATCTGAAGTGAAAATTCTGTCTGAATTGTGATATGCATATGTTAATTTGTCCATTTAGACTGAAGTTCCTCCATGCTGTAAGAGAACAATTCTAATCTGGTCAACATAGCTTTGCTTTTACAGTAACATATTTTTGGGTGTCATCTTACCCATGGACTACTCTTTTTTTCTCTTATCTCATAAAATACAGCTGGTTTTCAGGATTATAAGATTGGGCTACGAGTAGTAGATTGAGATATTTGTAGGGCCCTACATTTAGGTGACTAACTACTTTTTGGGCCATTTTAAAATAATTTGGGTTACATTTCAAGGATTTCTTGCTTTACTTTTTATAAAACCTATCTGGCAAGCTGTGAGGTTCTCACCGGTCACATGCTGTTTATCTGCAATTTATTTATATTATTAATTATTAATTAACAAAAATAGCATTCTATATACATAGCTGTATTCCATGTGCTTAATAAATTACATCATTTACATAAACTTAAGTTATATAGCATTTGGCATATTGTACAGAAATATGTAAATCACAGATAATTCAAAGTTGTGATTATTTCATCCCAAATTTCGAACTAATGATGATTTCCTTTATATACATAACTTACATCAACCTCTGTTAGAAAAGGTAGATGTCACAAACCTAGGATTGCTATAATAAATCAATACAGTCTAAGATGCAGGTTTAATGGTCATCATTAAAGAAGACATAAAAAATTCTTTTTGCATATTATTTCATGGTATCTACAATATCCAAGGTAAATACAAATTGAAAATTTAAACAAATACTAAATCATTTGCCATAAATTCACTTGGAAAAGTTCCCTTCTCTGACAAATAAATTCAAAGAATCTAGATGGAATAATTACAACCATATATTAAATCAATAGTTGACATCTAACAAATCAGTCACAAATAAGTAAAACATTCTTTAATTGAATTTGGCAGATATAGAAAACAACATACATGTGGATACACAAAAGTAGACAAAAGGGATGATACAATGCTCTCTGCCAGATCATTATAAATCATCACTTCTTTTTGACACTATTAACATTCCTACTGAATGGATGGTATCCATTAAATTAATGGCTGTTGCATTTAAGACAAACATACCAGGACCTGAGTTGATCTCCAAGAACTGAACAAAGTAATTAAGATGGAAGATCACCTAATTCCTAAAATACACTAACCATCAGTTTGATTAAAAATACCAACTATTTTTAAAAATTAGATACCAACTCAGGATTCACAACTATATTCTAAAATACATTCTTAAGTCTAGTTTGGAAGGTACTTTTATAATCATCTCCCTTTTGGGATTATAACTGCATCTAACATGTTCAATAAAGTTAAAGAGATTCTACAAGACTGTGTCAGGACTGTAGGTCTGCTAAATGATGTCCTCATATTTGTCAATACTCACAAAGATGATAAATGACTATAAACTGTTTTGACAAAACTAAGCAGCTGGAGTCACACAAAGTGGAAAGAAATCTATAATCAATGTGAGATTGATAGAATTTTTTGCCATCTGATCAATGAAATTGGGATTTGGATTTACTAAGATAAAATAAAGATTATAACAGAGTTAAAACTGATCCAGCTAAACGTAAAATCAAATGACAAAGACCTTTGGACATAAGCAGTTTCTATGCAAAAACTATTCTAGATCAGGCCAACATTCATTGTATTCAGTACTCAAAAAATGACATAACACTTGTCTGGCATATCAAGCTAATTTTCCATAAAGTGAAGAAGATTTTGACTATTACACCAGTCTTATCACTGTTTAATCCAACAAAGAAAACTATACTAATAGCTGATGCTTCATACCAGTATTAGATCAGAGGAACTCTTTTTCAAGTCCAAACCAATAGCTGATATTAGACTTATCATATATATATATCTTGCATGCTAAAGGAATGCAGGAAAATGTTATGCTTAAATTAAGAAAAACACCCTAGAAAAAACAAACATTTACAAAAAACTTGAAGATTACATATTGAGGACAGGAAGAGATCTAGATGCCAATTGTAAAACTTTTGTTCCTAGTATTACCATCAAAGTTCTGAACACTTTCTCTCCATATCTTAATTGATATAGGGTCTGACCTGGCTTGTCCATTATGACTACTAGTGTAACTAGAACTGATATTAGAAAGGGTCCTAAATTAGACATGCAAACCTTCATTCATCCTTCTACCATTGTAGATGTAGCCGCTAGTGTTGTGGATGAAGAGTAAGCTTTTAGATATTGTATACACATGTATATAAATGCATTTGATACATTCAAATCTTTTTCCTGTACTTTATTTTTTCTTTTTCCTGTAGTCAGGGAGTGATTATGCTATTAATTATAATTATAACATTAACCACATCCCAAGAAAAGATTTTGTGACTGCTGATATCTTAGCCCAGAAATCACTTTAGTAATTTTGATGATAAACAGTTTGAAGTAGAAGTAGAGAATCATGTTTCTTTTACCATTAAGAACTATCCAGCAATATTGAAAACTTCAACTAGTAGTAATACAAGGGAAGGGTGACAAGCTTTTGGTTGTATAGTACCTACATAACTAATGGATGACCAGACAAAAGACTAAACTAAGAATATCATTCCATTCTGAGAGAAAAGGTGCAATCTGACTGTCCAGAAGTAAATTCACTTTATGAATCATGCATTGTGATCCTATCAAGCATGCATAAAGAGATGCTAAAGAAAATGTATGAAGGCCATGTATACACTACTAAATATGATCAAGAGCTAAAAAAGTAATCTGGTATCCTGAAATATTGTCACAAATAAAAGACATAATTCAAAAATGTGATATCTGTACTCAACATCACACTAACCTGTTTTGTAAACTGAGCAGAAAACAGGTATGGATTTATTCAAAGATCTGACTGGTACTTTTACTCATTGACTGATATTCTCATTATCAAGATTGAAAAGATCAGTAGTCTTTAAGTTAATATCATCCTCAAGAAGATGACTGCAATCTTTGCACACCATAAAGTTCCAGAAGAAATCTATACAGATGATAGTGTACAGTTTAAACCATTTTTTTTAATGTAAAATCTTTAATAATTTCCATGAATCATAGAGATTCTGACTTTTAATTAGAAGTCCAGATTGTAAAGAAAATCATTATTAAAGAGAAAGGATACTTTAAAGGACTGTTGAATTGTAGCAACTTGAAAATGAATATTTGCAGTAGAATTAAGTATGAATTGGCAATTGAATAATTCTCTTTCTATGATGCCAAGAAAACTGAAATCTAGGAGCAAAGACAAAGCAAACATTGCTCATCATAAAGACACTCAAAGATGCTGCATAGACAATTACTGCAATAAGTTGAAAGGTCAGAATTTACCAAAACTAGTCCCAGGAATCTAAATCTTCATTAATGATGCCAAAAAATTTGGTGTCATTGTGAGCTACTGAGGAATCATATTATTATGTTATCCAGAATGACAGTAATTGAATTCTCCAAAAAACTGCTTTACAATAATCCTACCAAACCAATTTGAAGAACAATCAAGTACAACAAGGAGAGAAGACAAGTAACAGATTCCAGCTACAACTGAGCAGGACAATATCATCAAATCTGCTGAACAACTCCATCATTTGAACACACTCAGGAAGATTAGTAAGAGCACTGGCAAAAAAATTTCTTGTAAATACCAAAAGTGAAGATATTTTGTTGGCAACACCCAGTGTGGCTGTATGCCATAGTTCGTATATATATATATACAAACTATTGCATACTGCCACATATATATATACAAACTATGGCATATATATATATATCATATTTTCTTGATTTCTTTCCTTTCTCTTTGTTCTATTGTTTTTGTTTTGCTGGAATGTTCATGCTCAATCCTTCCTCTTCAGGTATGGGTGACTCACAACCAAGACAAAAGAAAGAAAGAAACCCTGAGGACTAAAGAGAGTGAGATGTAGACACTTTTTGACTGGACATCCAAGCAGGATGTGGACTAGTGGATCTCTAGGTCATTAGTAGCATCGACCGGAGGTAAGGAAAAGCTTTCCTGGTTAGAAATCTTAATCTGACGAAGAGAGAGACAATCGAATATAGAGAGAATATCAAGACGACTTCAACAGAATAAGCAAGATACAGCTCATTCTATTCTAATAAGTACATTGGAATATAATATTGTCACTGCACCTAGAGATACATCAAGAAATGGGTACCCCTTTCCTGTGCACTTCTCTTTTATTCATCTATACTTTACCATTATCATTCTCTTTAGTTTTAATTAGGTTAAGGCGTTAGAAATAAGTAATTTTATTCATGATCTGAAAGATATGGATTTATGATAGTTGTTGTGACTATATTCTTTGTGTCAGTTCCTTGAATTGTTTATCCAAATTCTATTTTGTTAATGAAAACCTCTGTAAATATTCTCGAAAATCTGTGGACTATACAAGAGTTGGAATCCGAAAGAACCATGTTCAATTGCAAAATAAAGATAATTTCTTTGTACAATATATCTTTGCTGCCTGCATTTTGCTATGAACATCATATCAGTGACACGGGGTGCATAGTGTACCCAAGTATACACAGTATGTCGGCACAGCATACCTTCTGTGTAACTTTTGTTGTTTGTCTTCTGTTGTATTATTTGATTATCCAAATAATACATCAGAGTTTACTCAGATATATATATATATATCTGATATATAGGGTAAGTAAAAAATTATGCAAAGTAGTTATAATTTTTTTTGTTGAAAGTACCCTTCTAGCTGTACCGTACATGCATAACTAGATGTTTAGTCCTAATCACTGTGGTACAGATGTAAAACCAATAATAAGCAGAATAACTCTGGAAAATAATAGAAAAAGCTTTTACTTTAATATGAAACTCTGTAAAAATTTTTGAAAGATTAAGTCAATGAAAGAACATTTTGTAATATTTAGAATACATTTTCAAAAGTTCATATTTTTTTAAGTTTTTATTTGCAATAAATGTATAATTAATTATTGTCCTGTTTATTTGAAAGAAATAAACTGTTAAAACCTTTATATATAACTTGAGAATAGGGACTTGAGAATTTCATAATTTGTTGTTAGTAATATATTTATTAGACTTTTTGTTCATCTTTAGTCTTAAGATCTGGTATAAAATTTCTGTAACCTTTATGAAATAAAGTAATCAATATTTGTAATATTATAAATTAAAAAGTTCATATAGTAATATAAAGCTATATATTTCTTTTATAATTGACATCTACAATCACTTAAAATACAAAATTATTTGAAAGATTAAATTGAAAAATTCAAATTTTTTAATTGAAACATATAATGATATGCAATTACATTCAAAGATTTTAACTATATTAATTTTGAAAAATTTTTCACAAAATAAACTGAAGTTTTCAGAAATAAGCAATACATAAAATAAAAAATATAAAAAATATATTCTCTCTTACATTGACAGTCTATCGTATTTGATGTATTCCATTGTTGATCAATGCACATAATGACTCCAAACTGTATTAAATGAGATGGTATTTCATAACCAACATCACATAAATATCGGCATATAGTACCAGATGCAAGCATTTCCTGATCTCCAGATAAACAATGTATAAGTCCATTTTTTGGATTAGCAGGTTTACGACATTGCATATTAGTTAATTCCGAAGTCTGCAGCTCTGTTATTTAAAAATTATAAAGTTAATTAAATTATTTAGAATAGCTCCATAAAGATATTTTAGACAAGATAAAATATTCTTAACAGTATAATATGTGATTTTACAAAGTAGATATATAATTTATCAAAACTTCATTATTATTAACTATATATCAATAACTATATATAACTATTCAATTATAAACTACATTATTATTTATGGTAAAAAATTTTATTTTAAATACAATTATTTTATAAATTATTCTACATAATTTATAATTCAGTGAATTTATTATCATAATTTTGTGCAAATAAACTGTTTATTATCTGAATTTATCCATGTTTAAAAAGTCAATTTGAAAGTGCAAGCAGATTACATGCCAATTTTAACTTGCAATTCCAAACTCATCAAACAGTTTTATCTTTCATCTAAAATTATCAAAAGCTCCTTTTTAAAAATGTGAAAAATTCTTTGCCTACTGCAGACATTTGTTATAACAATTTTTCCCCAGAAATATCAATATGTATATTATACTTCTGTGAGGACCCAAACAGGGATCGATTGAGAGGTCCGAATGAGAAGTATCGATTGAAAATAAAGAGCTCCTTTTCAGACGCTAAGGAAACGGATTAGGTGTCTCGAGTGAACAATGCAATTGTTTTTTTTTCGTAAATTTGTTAAACAATGGAAACGGATAAATTCGAGGAAAACGCGACAAGAGAGAGGAATCATATTCAGTCGCAATCATTAGGTTTCGAATTGTCACCAGGTGACAATGAGAGACCAATGGAGAGGCGACTACGGTTAAGAAATCTATAAAACCGTGCGACTCAAGGGACAAAGGTTCTTGGTTCTTGGTGCTCCTCTTCAGGATTTTTGTGATCCTACTTATCAACAGCGACTGATTCGTCAACTCCTGTGACTTACTGTCGCTTTCCCGTGACGTCTTGATTTGCACAGATTTGCCTTTCACCAGAGACTTTCGCTAAAGCTGTGCCGCATGCCCCGGGGCCGTCGATCTCAACGTACGACATCGAAGGACCAAACGGAGAAAGTCGGACCCTTGAAGGAACTTTTAATTTGCTCCCCGAGCTGTGTTATGTTGAAAATTTGAAGAACATTGTAAGAATTTTTTGTAATATAATAAACGGGTTAAAGATGGTAAACCCGTCTCAGAAAGTCATTCTGCGCCCACACGATGGAAGCAACCGCTCGGCTGTCGAAAAACCTCACCCTAATCGGCTGACTTCACACTTCATCCTTTAGTTTTTTTCTCATTCATTTTCTCTGCATCAATCCATACATCAATTGATATTATTACACATTCCTACTTGAACTTCTATCTCAAAAGCTGTTCAGTTTTCAATATCTCTCAGAGAACTATTTAGAAAGTTCTATTTAAAAGCTGCATAATCAACTTTCAATGTCATTGAGTAATCAAATTTTAATTCATTGATATTTAACTTTTTAACATCATTTTTTAACATCAACTTTTAAAGATCAGTTATACAATCTCAATGATTAAGACATGATTTGATAATTTAATGCTAAGGGGCTATAACCTCTTGCTATTTTAATTGCTAGAAAGTAAATTTTGAAAATTAAAATAATCATAAACATTTAAAATGGTAGTCCTAGCTTGACTTTGCAATGTTTTGCCCTATTTTCACACAGCAACATTTTATTAATGAAATCAGAATTAAAGAAGATGCAAATAAAGCAAAATGGTAACTTCATTTTTTAAAGTATATAGTGTAAAAATCTATTTCATATTAAAGTAACATTTGTACACAACTGAAATTATTATTATATAATTTTCAAGTTAGATAAAAGTAAAATAAATCTTTGCATAACATATCTAAATTGTAATCAAATGAAATAATTGTCATTTAATTAAAATTAAATAAACAAAATAAGCATTAAATTATCAATTTTAGCATTTTATTGGCTAGCATAACAATCAATCAATTCTTTACCGAAAGCTATAAAAAATTTGTTAATAGCTTGCTACAGCAAATAAGAGTAGAGTGATCACTCAAACTTGTGTCATTGGATATTATTAATGATAAAATTGTTTTCTATTCAATTTTTATCAAATTTATTTTAGCATTTATAATTATAATTATTATTATTATTATTATTATTATTAATTATTATTATTGTATTATTAAAGTAATACAATAAAAAAATTTTGTCATTTGGCAACAAATTTATATTTTACATTTTTGTAGTTTAGAAAGTTTCCTCTCAGCATTTCATTTTTCCATTTCATTTATTTTATAAATATACGTAATAAATTNGAAGAAAGTCTCTTACTGTACTATTTTAGATGTGTTTTTTTTCGATTATAACTGCGTTATAGTCGGGTATGTTAAGAAATGCATACTAAGAACAGATTTCGAAATTTCTCTCTGGTGGGAAAAAAAAGGATTAAAGCTTAACTTGAAGAAAAACTTTTTACTATACTATTTTAGATGTGTTTTTTTTTTGTTTTTACTTGCATTTTAGTTTGATTCATTATCAAAATGTATATTAAGAAGTGCTAATGAAAATTACTATTACAAGGGGAAAAAGTAAGGACTAAGGCTTAACTTGAAGAACGACTTTTACTATACTATTTTAGATGTGTTTTTTGTTTTTATTTGCATTTTAATAGCGTATGTTGTGAAATTACATACTAAAAAAGTTTTAGAAAATTTTGCATGCATGTGAAAGAAAGAAGATTAAGGCTTAACTTGAAAAACAACTTCTACTGTACAATTTTAAATGCAATTTTTTGTTTTTAACTGCGTTTTAGTATGGTACATAAATTACAGCAGTAAAGTACATTCAAGTGTAAACATTTTAAAATCAAAATAAAAAGATGGTATGCTAAATCTCTCTGTACTATTAATGTTGCAAAAGTTTGCTTATTGTGGTAATGATATTTATATTATTTATTGTTTAAAAATTATTTTTACTTTAGAATAGTACAGTTAAAACAATGATCTATATATATAACCCATTCAATGGGTATCCGTCCATCCGTCCATCCCGTAACCGTTTGATAACGGACACTAGAGGCGCCCCTATCGTGTGTCATATTTCAAACATTCAAATTAACAATTTTAATTATTATTTAAATTAACAATGTAAAATATTATTATTCATTTGGCCTATAAATTATTATTTGATCAATATAACGATATAAATAATTCAGTATATTTGTAATAGGAATTTATTATTGCAGGGGCTTATATCTCGCGAAAGGTCGCGAGTAGGGGTATGGTTCCTTTGACTTTATTGTTCGCCCAGGGGCTACAGTTTGGGAGGGTCGCCACCTCTTCATTCGGAGGGTAAATCTTACCATTGGGACTTTAACAGAGTTGTACAGCATATTGATAGGAACAAAAAAAGTCAAAGAAACCATGCTTCATGGAAAATTGTAAAAAACGCCCACTAGGAGGCGTCCCGGGCTACTAGTTAAATATAATGCATTGTGTCGCGCTGGTGGCTACAAGAAGACTGCATTAAATATATGAATATGTGTAATTTGTGAAAAAAATTGACAAATGTGAAGAAAATAAACTTTTTCATTTCATTCATGTACAGTTCACAATTTAATCGACAAGAATAACAACTTTAAATAGTAAAATGGTGATTTACAACAAATTTATATTTTACATTTTTGTAGTTTAGAAAGTTTCCTCTCAGCATTTCATTTTTCCATTTCATTTATTTTATAAATATACGTAATAAATTGCTAATGGAAATAAAACAAACAACATTTTAACGTTTGAAATGATACCATATTAAATTGCATACTAGAAAGTTTCAATGGCCACTCTGGCAAAACAAGATATATGGTGATGAAATTTACATAATGGTTTGATTTTCATTCTAGGAATTTTTGAGGTATTTACTGATGCAGACAAAATTACGGTAATATCAATTAATTCTAGTTTAAATACTATGCAGAAAGTAATTATTAGAAGTAAAAATTTACAAAAAAAAAATTATTTTAAAGATATTTACTTTCACATGTTGGGATGGAGGAATTCCAACTGATATGCTTTCCATTTTCTTTACATAATATTGATGGTTGTCCAACTAATGTATATCCATCATCACAACTAAAAGTGCAGATACTTCTCCAATATCCATTATTTGTACACTGAACATTTCCATTCTTTGGAATCTGAACTGTTGGACATTTCAATGCTGAAATTTATTAAGATATATGATTTATTAAATTGAATTCTTGTAAAGCAAAAATTATTCTTACATCTACAATTATATATATATATAATTTTTTTTTCAGCTTGCATCTTGTTTATTGTTTAACTAACTCTCTTTTTTTTTGTTTTGTTTGTTCTTGTTCTAAGATGCTTGAAAAAGGCCTATCTGGCCACACTGTCTTTTTTGAAAATAAAATAAATATATATTTATTTATTTATTGTTATTTATTGGGGAAATCAAGGCAGATTGAAACACTTAAAGTTTTAAGCATTATAAATAGTAAAAGATGTACAATACAGTACATAGATGTTTGAAAGTAAACAAGTTTATTTTTTAACTACTTGACAATATAATGTTTTGTTCAAACTACCAAGAATGAAACATCAATTGATCAATTGTTATTTATGATATAAAAAAAGGATGCACTTTGGTCCATTCTACTCTGGTGACAATATTTTGACCATGGGACAGAACAGAACACTTATTTTTATTACTCAAAAATAACCAATAATAAAATTACATTGTTCTTCAGTTTGCTTGCTTTACATAAATACAGTTTAACCCGATTATAACGACATCGGATGTAACGACAACCCTAATATAACGTCAAATTTTTATTGGTCCCACGATTTTACTATACTAGATAATGTTAAAAAACCCACTTGTAACGACATAAAACCCTGTTTTAACGTCATATTTGAAGCACTCTTAAATTTACAAAATTAAATTATAAATTTTATTTATCAAAGAAAATACTACGTGTTCAGTCAGAGTCCCTTCCTAGAACGATTGTGGGTGGTACTGTCACCACCTGATTCGGTGGGGTGAGATGCGCCACCCCTTTAAACGACGTGACAGTGGGTTAGTCTGCATAGCTCTCATACTCGTGTTGTAGTTTACAATCTAAAATAACTGACTTTTTTTAAGTGAATATTTTTATTGTTTTTTTTTAATTGATATACATTAATTTAACCTAAAAGTGAAATATATTGGACTTCATGTCCATTGATAGATAAGCAAGAAACGAGAAAATTATCATCCAGGCGTTAAAACCGAAAGTGCCGCCATTATCGAAACTTGACAAATAAAAATTTCTTATAAAAAATAATTTTTGAAATTTTTAATTACATCGTTGTAAATTTAGACATAATAATGTAAATAAAGTTGATTTAAATATTTAGTTTGCACTTTTATACATACGATATTAAATTAATGAATTTTATAATAGATTCTTAAACAGACTTGATACTTTTATGGAACTGAAATTATGACCCCGCAGATAACGACACTCGGTTATAACATCAAAAAATTGCCGGTCCCATGGATGACGTTATAAGCAGGTTAAACTGTATTATTTGTCAAAATTAGTTCTATTGAACACAGAATATTCCTGAAAAAATCTAAAAATTATGTAAAAACTTTTCTTTTTAATTAGTAGCAACATTCACAAATGACAATAGCATATCATAACTGTCCACGCCAGCACATGAATTATGGGCCATTTGAGACAGTTCTGCAAGCAATCCACCCTTCAACAGAATGGAATCCAGTTCAGTCATACTCAGGATGCAGAGATTATGTTATGTTTAAATGTTGTTAGTTTGTTAGTTTATGTCAGAAATTAAATTACAATATAATATACCAGTGGTGTGCCGTGACATTTGATGATAGGGAAGCTGTGTTTCTGTAAGAAGCAGACTTCCAGGGGTAATCAGTTATTTGCACGTCAGTGATGGTCTAGGGTCCATTGTATTCATTTGTTTGATAAGTCAGTAAAAACCGTAGACTTCTCTAAATGTATTTTTAATATCACAATTACATTCCGAATCAATAGCCACAATATAAGGGCTAAAATTAAAAATAAATTATAAAAACTTACTTGATGAAATAAAATATGTGGTTGATGTACATACTTGGTACAAAATATTCTTCAATTGTATGAATATATTTTTAAAGAAAATTATAATTAAATATAGCTTTGTAAAGAAATGTACATAAAAATATAACACAAAATTTTAAAACAATCCACTTAGTCAAATAGCTCCCTACAAGTGGCTAATGTATGGAATCAAGAGATGGTCCTGGTAGGTGTGCAGTGCATGCATGCATGCAGACTGCCAAATTCCAAGGGTGCCGTTACTGGTCAATGTCAAATGCCTCTTTTGTCACATCACTAGTATACCTCAAAGGAACGCGACAGGGTTGTTGTAAATTTTAAATGTTTCTCACCATAACTATAAAAATCTAAATATGTTAAACTTAATAGATTGTCTGTCGTTTGTTTTCTAACTAATTCATTTTAGAACCAGGTGTTGTCCACAGAAATTTCCAAAATTTACAACTTTTCGGTCACTCTCGTTGAACTGGAAAAATTTCTGTCTTTATTACATCTAATATTATGAAGAAATCAGTCCCCACTGTACTTGGCTAGATATTGGTTCGGTTAAGCTTTTAAGTAAAATTCCGGCTCTTTCATCAGGGTTTTATTTATGTCCCTAATTCCCTAATCTCTTAATTATTTAACTACTTCTAAAGTAGAAATAAGTTGAAATCGGTTACTTTATACTTGAATATTTGTAGTCTTGGGAAAGAAGTGGAAAGACAAATTTTTATGACAACAGATACATAAATCGTAAATTTAAGGAATATAAATTCTAGAGCTTGTTTTGTACCTTGTGCATCTCATTCATTACATTTAGTTGTAAATGATGCTGCCAAAGTAACAGTTAATAGTTAATTTTTTAACATTGTACAAGAATTGTATATGTTTTTTTCTGCATCCTCTTATAGATGGGACATACTAAATTGTAATATCACTAGTTAAACATTGAAATCTGTAAGTAATACAAGATGGGAGAGCAGAATAAAAGCAGAAGAAATATATCAAATATTTTAATGGATTTTTTTTAAACTCCTGTCAACTACATATACAGAACTATCGTAAAAACATACCAGTAAACTCCTATTGGTTGGGTTAAGTTATAAATCTACTCGCAATTCACATAATAGGGTGAGGACAGCCAAACATCTAGCAGGCAGGCAGTTAACAACCCAGAACCGGTCCTGGATAGAATCGTTGGAAGTGTTATACGATATTTTGGTTTGTAGCTTCCACCAGTGAGGTTCATGCTCTGTAAAGTGCATGCAGAAATGCCTATAATCTGGCTGCTTTACACCATTCAAATATTTTCACCGTGGAAGCTATCTCATATTCAACAATACAGCGCTTCCATTGGGAATATGTGTATATGAATTTATATTTGAATATACAATAGCAATGTTATCATTTTTTTACATGCAGTATAGAAATTTGTAGTAAGATATATAATGAGGTTATAATAAAATATAAATTTTAATTCAAAGTATACGTTCAAATATGAAAATAATCGCATAACGTGTATTTATATTTTAGAATATACAAGGGAAGCGGCACTTCCACTGCTTCCAAGGACGGCATGCCACTGTATACTATACTATACTATACTATGATATAATATACTGTATTTTCATGGAATGACTGGCATGCCAGTCTATCCAGGAGACTATAAAATCAGATATTTCCATATGATAAAAGCCAGAATGCCGGTTTATCCCAGGAAATGCCAGCATGCTGGTATAAGTAAGGTTATACATTGCTCTGTAGAGGGTGTGTTAAAAAAATCAATGAGTTTTTATTCTAAAACTGTGAAACTGTCAGCATTATATCAAAAACTGATTATATGTTTAATTTTTTCATTTTTTCTTCTTTCTAACGATGTAAAATACTCGTGGAATTCTGAAAGTACTTTTTTTAATGTGTATTTTATTGTTATTTGATTCAAAAACACAAAAATAAACATATTAAATTTAAGAAATTTACTGTAAATTATCTCAGCTTAGACCAATTAACATCAGCTTTGTGTGAAATTTGAGATGAAGTTATTTTTATAGTCTCATGATCTGTACTTGCACAGAGTAGCCACATTCAGGACCCTTGTTAAAAAAGCTTCCACCCATTGCTCTGACACTTTACATGGGAATTGGAAGTTAAACAATATCTATTTAGTCTCTACACATGGCTATTTTGCAAGGCTTATTAAAGCTTAGTTCATCATTATCTCAGGTAAGATGACCCCAATTGAAATGTGGTTAGTGTATAGGACTGTTACTTTTGACAAGGCTCTATATAACATCTATAGAGAAATTACAAAAACCTCCAACATTAACATTGCCTATAAAAAAAGTCTGACAAATTTTTGTTGCTGAGAAATGCTAAGAATCCTTGTCAAGATCTTCAATTCCAGTACCTTACCTCCACAGAAATTTATCATACCTATCCAAGACATCAGAATTGACCAACACTATGGGGAGAATCACACAAGTGTACAATGGTCCATGAAAGGCAGTACATGAATAAATAACAACAATTATTTATTTTTTTCACACGAATTGTAATATACAGGATTCTTTTTTGGATTCCAACTCTGAGTGTTACAGAATATCCAAAATAGGAGCAAGGAATAGAGTAAATACAAATCAAGGGAACCCGCTCGAGACAATTAAGGAAAGACTAACTTGTAATCTTATAACTAATACTTACACTAAATTATAAACTAACAGAGGAAAGGAAAATTAACAAAAAGTTTTAGTGTGATAGAAAAAGAGCTTATAAGGAATAACAGGGTTTTCTGGTTGGTATTGATGCTCTTCTGGTGGGAAAGCACTGTAATTTGTTTCCTGATGATCTTTAATTGGATCTCTTCAATGATCCTCCTTATACAAGGGACATTCGTCTCTTTTTACGTTAACAGGGTCTTTTCTCCTCTGCAGGCACCTTCGTCTCCCTTTGTCCTTCTAGACGATGAGCAGGAGTGTAACTTCCACATGTCTGCCTTCACCGAGAGTCCGACCCAAGAATGACCCTCCTTATCCATTAGAGTTGCCTTGGGGATCTCACTTCCCATTGTCAATATGGTTCTTAGAAAGGGTTTCCCCACCCACAGAAAGGAATGTTAGTCAAAAATTCGAGAAAACAAAAGGAGAAACAAAGAAGAAAGAAAACTTAAAACTAAACTTATATCTAAAATATATATAGTAATATGGTGTATCATATTACTACTATAAGTATATCAGGATGACAGCCAGATCACAGAGCATAAAATTAAAGAGCATGAAACCCTATAAAGCAGGAGTGTCCAACCTTTTTGTTTCTTTGGGCCACATTGGAAGAAGTCAAGGAGTTTTGGGCCACAAGCAGTAGCGTAGCGTAGGGGGGCGACAGGGGCGGCCCACCCCAAGCGGTACTTTTTAGGGGGCGGCAAAATTTGACAATAAATAATAATATCTTGTAAGAATTTGAACCATTTTATTTCATATTTTCGTGCACCTACGACTCGGACCGATTGAAATGAGCACGGCAATAGTGTTACCATCCATCCGAATAGTCCGCGAATCGACTCGCCGTCCAAGGATATCGTGCGCAACCTGTTGACCTTTTTTATTTTTGTTTTTTTTTTTCTTGTTTTTTTTTCTTTGCTTGTACGATTTATTCGTAGATATATACACCTTCAATATCCAATAGAGCTAGGTCACTTGCATTACTCCTATCCAAGTCTCTCTAGTCGCTAACTGTAACTGATTTAGAACCAGCATGCACTGCAAATTATTCTTCGCATTGCAAAATGACATATGCATGCGTCAGAAACTTCTGTTCGAACAAACCTCACCCGCCATCCGGGTCGGCGATTTTAAAAAAAGTGGCAACACTAGCACGGAATTTTTCATTACTTATTCTGTGACTAAACTGAATTTTAGTCTTTTAAATTGAGATACCTAAATAAGGGGACGGCGAAATTTTCCTTTTTCCCGGGTGGCTGACACCCACGCTACGCCACTGGCCACAAGTAGACTACAGTACATATATACTTGTGGTCCAATATACAAGTATATTTAAGGATTAACATGTCTAGATTATAATAATAAGTATTAAAACTTTATCAAGAAAAAGGATATTTTAAAAATTACTTCTACAGACACTTTCAATTTTTACTTAGAAATAGATAAATTCATTTATTATAAAAGAGACAAACGGAAATTTATTTGAAAGACACAGACATTTGTTATATTTGGGTCTCTAATTAATAAAAAGCAACGAAACACCATTTTAAAGTGCATTTTTATTCAACTAATATAAATAATATGTAGCCCAAAAAGTAGCCAAAGCGCCAAATGATATTTTTTACATCAAACAAAAAAAAGTAGCCACATTTGGCGCAATGTAGCCAAATCTTGCAACGTTGAAAAAAGTAGTAAATAATACTGGAGTTGTGAATCAAAGGATTATAGACCCAAGTGCAGGGAAAGGAGAGAAAGGACAAAAGTTAAAGAAGTGAGAAAGGTTGGAAAATTAAGGGTCAACAGAAGATCTGTTTAACCTTTCTCCCTACTACATCTTTTGTTTTTTCTCATCTTTCCCTCCTTTTCCCAAATTTGGGTCTATAATCCTTTGAGTCACAACTCCAGCTTTATTTAGTAATCCTTCCTCATTCACACATTTCCAAGTATTTGAAAATATTTCCTTTCCACTCAAGAATAAAATACGAATAAAGGTTTACCGCTTTGTGAAACTTCTTTTTTTGAGTTTATGCCGTTGAAATAGATAAATAATAAAAAAATTAAAACATTTTGTCTGTTTTGTTTACACGTTTATTGGGCTGCATGCGGCCCGCGGGCTGGACACCCCTGCTATAAAGAAAGGGCTTATGTGCAACCACTCTTGTGGCTTTCACCTCTGACAACAACATCAATGTATTACTTGACAGGTCTAATCTTCTAAATCACAAATTCATCCCAGAATACTTAAGTTACTTAAAAAGGCTCAAAATAAATAAAGCTACTAAGAGAAACATTGCTATTAATTTTAAGGATACAGAAACAATATCCCACACTTGGAAAGCTATACTCAAAATCTTATGATACTCAAATCTCCAGTTTTTGTTGTATTTTTTTTTATTAAATCTTTATTTTTACTTATTTGTTTGTACTTTGGATGCCACTCCTCTGCACATGCACCTGCCTTTGCTGACATGTTGTTACCAAGTTCCTTTAATTTTAAATTTATATCTTACATGCTATGTTTGTTTTTCTATCATGTAACGTAAAGATAATCATTAAAAAATGGTTTAAAACATTTGTTTAAGTATTTCATTTCATGTTTAAGTTCATTTTTTGCTGCTAGATTATTGGTTTAAAGTGTTATATATAGATGCAATATTTGTTCCTCTTTTGGCTTTTGATAAAAAATTATTGAATTAAAAAAAGTTTGTTCTTTCAAAGCAAACTCCTTCAAAAATTAAAAAAAATGAAGCAAATAAACCAAATCTGTCATGACTTCATCTTTAGCTTTAATTTCATAACAAAACAGAAGAAAATAATGTTGTGTGTAAATAAAACAAAGCATTGCACAGTCAAGCTAGGGTTATCTTTTTAAATGTATATAAACTATCTTTAGTTATCAAGATTTATATTGTAGTGATTAAAATTGAATGAGTTTGTAGCTTAATAGAATGACAATTATAACCTCTTGTATCTTAATGGTCAAAGTTCTCCAAAATTATGTCATCATATAGATAGAGGCTAATTATCAAAAATTTATCAGCTTTCAAAATATAAATTCAAGTATGAGTGTCTAATAATATCAATTGTAGCATAGATTCAATGTATACAATATAAATAAAAGAGAATTAAAAATGAGGTATGCATATATACATTTGGTGGGTTTCAGTGCTGTCAAGAAAAATTGATATGACCAAATATAGTACATCTGTGATACTCAAAAAATTTTTCACGTTTTCTAAAGATGATCTTAGTAGCTTTAGACAAAGGAAAATATGTTTAATAGATCTGTAATTGCATAATCAACATATAACCTGCTCCATCACATGATTTACACTCAGTTTCAAATTGCCTTTTAAACATAGATAACCCACAGGTTATCCATACAAAATTAGAGTAATCATTTAAATTATTTTTACCTTCACAAATTGGAATTGGAGCACTCCAGCTAGCATGTTTATTTCCTTTACATGATATTGAAGGTTCTCCAATCAATGCGTATCCTTCATCACAAATGAAACTGCAGATACTTCCCAAGTTTCCTTCATCTGTACATTGAACATTTGCATTTTCTGGAATCTGTATTGATGCACATTTTAATCCTGAAAGTCAATATTATATAATAAATTCTTAGAGAGTAAAACTAAATTAAAAGTACCATAAATATGAATTTAAACTCATCTTAAATTTGAAAAATCTTACAAGAATTGAAATTTTAATTAAATCAAATTTATTATAAGCTTTCATAAATTAAATTATTTACTTATTTAATATCTTGATATAATTTTTCACTTATATTAATTACCTATGCATGTAAAATATTATTCAATTTTTTCAATCAGTTAAATCAGTGTTTCTGAACGGGGACGATATCACCCCCATGTGGGCGTTTTTTTATGTTGAGGGGGCGATTAGTAACAATTTATATTTTGGGGGGCGAAAAACAATTTTCTGGGCGATATAGTAAAACATTATATTAAGAATAATTAGATATTTTATTCGTTATATCGTACAATAATTAAACAAATAACATTATATTAGTCACTAGTCTTTTCAATGCAATGTGAATTTGGCGTTAGCCTTGTCCCTCGGCATCGAAATTTTGTAGTGAAGGGGGGGCGATACTACGTAACGGTTTTATTGAAGGGGGCTATACTACGTTGAAGGGGCGACGATTCATTAGAGGTTGAGAAACACTGATTTAAATAGCGAATATAGAAAATATTAACTTTGAATCAAATGTAGAAAATATAGAATACTGTAATTTCTAGATATTTTGAAACATCTAGAAATTACAATATTTTAAAATTGATAAAATATAATAATGTACTCTATATTCATTACATATATTTGAATAACAATGAAAAAAGTACAAACACAAACACATACACACTTGTAAAAAAAATTGATGTACAGTATCTTAAAATCAATGTGCAATAGTAATAAAATTCTGCATATGGAATGGTAGTAAAAGAATAAAAAATTAATTACAATATTACAGCACAAGACAAGCACGGTGAAAATTAATGCAAACTGACAGTGGCAAATCCAGAAGAACCCAAAGTGGGGCAAACTCAAAAATTTAAATATTTGAATAATTTTAAGTAACTTTTTTTAACATGTGCAAGATGATTGTATTGTGAATGGTCTGATAAAGCAGATTTGCTATCATATATACAGTATTTTAGAAACAACATTTTGAAGTTCAAACAAATAAATTATATTTTTTTGTGTCAATGGGGAGGGCTTAAGCCCCTGTAACCTCATGGATCTACCTTGTAAACTGACCAATGTCAGAGATGTCTTTACAACTGCTAATATGCAACATTTGTGATGAAACTATTTTACGATATCAATATCACAGCATAAGGATGCTGTGATATTGATATCGTATCGACAAAATCACAGCATAAGGATGCTGTGATATTGTAATAAATTTTTAATTTTTTTAGTACTATTCCGAGTCATATTTTTTACTATTGCATACCAGCTTTTAAGGTGAGTCAAATTTTTGCAACAGAGTTTATTTGTATTTTTTTAATATTATTATTCATATAATAATATTTCATGTTAATTAATACACATACATACATATTTATTTATATTGTATATGTGTGTGTGTGTGTGTGTGTGTATTAATATTTAATTAAATTTTACTTTCACATGTTGGATTGGAAGCATTCCAGTTGATATGTTTATTTCCTTCACATAATACTGATGATTCTCCAATCAGTGCATAGCCTTCATCACAAACAAAACTGCAGATACTTCCCCAATATTCTTTATCTGAACATTGAACATTTACATTTTCTGGAATCTGTATTGATGGACATTTTAATCCTGAAATTCAATATTATATCATGAATTCTTAGATAATAAAAACTAAATTAAAGAAAATTATATAAATGATTTGTAAAAAATCTTATAATGAAATTTAAACTAAATCAAAATATTATCTCTTGTAGATTAAGTTAGCATTTTTTTTTTATTTGGATATAATTTTTTTTTATTTATATCATCAACTATACATGCAAAATACAATTTAATTTCTTCAATCAGTTTAACATTAATTTCTAAATATTTCAACAAGAAAGTATTTTAAAACTGATATTAATACAATAATGTACTTTATATTTATTATACACATATTATTAGATAAATAAGTATTGTATGTTATGGACTAAATGATTAATATGGGCATTATTAATAATGACAAACAACATTGGTCATTGTAATAAATTTCCCTTTCTTTATCATAATTTATCACATTGACTGGTCAATATGAACATCTGTTGGGCAAAGTGAAGATAATGATACATTGAGATGTGATCGTCCAACAAAATATTTAACTTCCCCCATATACCAAAATGACATTCCAAAAGTTTTTTTAAGTTGAGTTTTATAACCAAATTATATAATTTTGTTAATAATCCTTTTTGTTGACATTAATTTAACTAACACAGTTAATAATACTTACTTTTAAAAAATATTCTAATTTAAAAGTGAAATTTTCACAAATTATTTTGTTGAATGCTACGTGCAAAGTAATTGCCAAAGTTAATTTATTTTAATAATAATTCTATTTATTATATAGTGTGTGTTGATTAATAAAGAGTTTAATATAATAAATATCCTTATATATTAATAAATATTAACCATTTAATATGAGCAAATTTTTCTTAAAATACTTTGAAATAATTCATAAAAATAAATAGTTCTTAATGAAAAAAGTGGATATTTTTTAAAAATCAAATCACCCAAAGAGAATAAATATATGTAACAACTACAAACCAGCATGAAGTAAATTTAATTAAATGAAAAACAAACATTTTCCTCTGTTTTTAATGGTCGTCATCAGGTTTACACTAGTTAGAACTAATAAAATGCATGTTTTTTGTATTTGAAGGGCTATTTTCCTCCAGGTAAGGGGAGTATCCATGGGTAGTCCTATCTCAGGAATGCTTTGTGAATTAGTGGTGAGGCACTTTGAACAATATGTCTTACCTTGTGTTAATGATGACATTATGTTATACACAAGATATGTCAATAATGTGTTGATTATTTGGAAGAAAAAACCAAACTGGTCTGCATTTATCAAGGCTTTAAATGATAACACTTATGGCCCCTTCACACCTGAGTACACTTTCTTGACATTCCACCCGAGTACACTTTCTTGACATTCCATTACAACATGGTTGGTTGAGGTGTTCTGTAAAAAGTCATATGTTCTGCTCTTCATCCATGCAAAATCACACAATCCTTTCAATTATAAAATCCTGCTTTTAAAGCCCTGGTAAGAAGGGCTTACATCCATTGTTCTATGGTGAAAGATAGGAAAATAGAGCTGGATTACATTTCAAACATAGCCAGGCAACATGGATACCCTGCACACCTTATTAATGCTCTTATTATTGGGTTGTTCGGAAAGTAATTTCGTTTTTTTTTTCATGGAAAAAAACACAATATTTTTATAATAAATAAATATTTTATTGAATTATATATCGACCATTTTGGTCAAATACCTGTTGTCATCGTTTCTGGTAGTAGCATGATTTCGCATTCATAAAAGTTTTGATCGTTGCTTACAAAAAACTGATCCAAGTGATTTTTGACATTGTCATTTCAAGTAAATGTCTTACAGTTAAAAAAAAT